TGCCAGGTGGCTCCTTCTTCCCATCATTTGCTGTGCATGTACGCCATGCAAAGAAATACTGGAAAATCAAAAGGGAAAATATAATTAACCCTGTGGTTTTCACAGTTGCCCTTTATGTTGCTGTATTTTTATTTTCTCAAGCTTTTACGAAGCCATCGTTAATCTAGCCAGCCAAGGTCAGGCGAGATTTCTTTTTGCCCTCTGCTAAAGCTTAGGAAGCTCCAACCTGCTCTGCCATAAGGAGACAGTTAATACCCACCTCTTGGGTTAATGAGGAGGGGTTCTTATGGTGCCCATAATGATCACTGCTGCTGTATCATAGGGGTGGCTGAGGAGGGTTTTTGCACAGTGTTATTTCCTTTTAGCAGCAAATATTTCCGTAGTCACGCTGCTTAAACCAGTGGGTTTTTTTGGCTTCAACCAAGTGTTTCTGCTGCCATAACAGCAACATTGCAGGTTCATGCAACGCAAAGAGCCCTGTGTCCTTTTCTGCGCCCRGTGAAATGCAGTGCAGTATTTGCAATATGCCTTAAGCATAAGCAATGCTCGGGAATAGGAGAAGAGCAAATTCCCAGGAAGAGGCTGAGTGGCTCTGGTGAGTATCCGGCCTTGGTTTAGACACTTACATGAAGAAGGAATGGGAGAGGCCATTTGTGGCCATTCATCCCAAAGGAAACTGGGGTGAGCAGATCAGAAAACAAGCACATTTCTCCAAACAAACTTTTCAACTTGCTTTTTTTCAAATAAGTGGGGAAAAATAAAATCTACTTCTCCAGTCTCGAGTGCTCAAAAGACTAAAAATAGACCACCAGAATAAATAAATTAACCCAGAAGACAGGAGTGATGCTCTGCAGGCATCAGGGATTAAACAAACTCCCTAAATTCAAAGTGCTGCTCTAGATAAGAGCGCTTTGTGCCGCAGCATGTACGGCCTATTGATTCGGGGCTGGAGGTGCTGTGCACTCTTGCACAGCGAGCTCTGCCTGATGCGACTTAATCCTGCAGTAACGTACAGCACGGCGCCCAAAGCATGGAGCTGCCTTCTAGTTCCGTCTTCATTCTCATTTTTGYGCTTTCATTTGCTCCTCTGGCCCCGCTCGGCGGCTGCTCCCAACGCGCTGATTCAGCAATGCACGGGTCGGACCGTGGTGGAGGAACATGGACATGCGGAGACTGGAGATAGGGCTGGAGCATCAACCCGTCCCTTGGGGTTTGACAGTCCGAGTTGGGGCTGGTGGTCACCGAGGTGGAAGTGCCGTGGTCACTGCTCCTCACCAGCATGGGAGAAGATTCCCTTCCTCTTGTGCAAGATCTTCCGCCTCTGCTGCCCAGCCCAGGTCCCAGATGATGGTTCTTCCAAGATGCCCTTACGTTGGACTGAACATGTCTTTTTACCACATAATCTACCTAGAATGATAAAAACCTTCCGTGTGCAGACGTCATGAGAGCGCAGTTGAGCCACTTCCATGATATTCAAGTCTCCAAGAGTCTTTGGGGGCTACTTTCCGGGCCTACGGGGAGAAAAGTGGATCTGATCCAGGGGACAAACCCTTGTCGTTCAGCATTGCCTCTGAGYGAGAAGCTGATATGAAGGAAAGGCGGCTGAATGGCTTGATTCCGGAGTGACCCCCTCCAAATCCCCCATAGGCTGCTGCTACCTGGAGCTGCTGCCTTCACGTGTGTGTGCAGTGACACAGGAACCCAGGGGAAAATCTGGTGTGAAACCAGGTGGGATTTGGCACTGACAGCAGTGACGCTGTCTGAGCAGAGAGGCTCCCCAGGACGTCCCAGCAGTTCTGCAGCTGTGGAGCCCAGAGCCCAGTAGTGCCACATGAACCAAGTGATGACACCTCCAGTGGGGACCTGCCCTGAAGCTACTCTGGTGTCCTCAGCACGTGGCAATGGCCTCATCCATCCTCTGTTAATCATCCTTTCTTAGACTGATACCTTTTTTCACCAAAATCAAGCCTCTTAACCTCAAGACATGCAACYTCTCCTAGGTAAGGCTGCCTCCTGACTGTGAGCCCCACAGCCTCTSTTTTGACACCCAAGATCATTAACATTTCCTACAGTCTGTTGAGTAAGTAGCAAATAAAGCAGGAAGTGTCCCAGATGTTGGAAAGAAAAAATGGAATTATTCATCGCTTGCTAACGTCAAATGCTAATGTGAGAGAAGCATCCTTGAAGAAATCCTTGACTAAAATTCATCAGAGTGATATGAAATCACTGTTTTAATTATGCATTTTTGAATGCATTAGTCCCTGTTCTGATCTGACTTACAGATGTTTAGCAGCGATAAGAATCTACTGGAGTCTCTGGAATTACTTGTGATTTATAGTGACAAAATTCGGATCAGAATTAGGTCCTTGTCATTAGTCTCTCATAGCCCTTCAYCTAACTCCCTCACCTTGAACAGAAGAGACTGTAGTTTCCATAATTTCAAACCATACCACTGGGTCCACCAGTTTATTTTGAAAATTTCCCCACCAGAAACAATAATTTTGATAGAAAATTTTGTCTGATTAAGCTCCTTTGACTGTAAAAATTTCTGACCAAAGAAACTAGACTTTTCTAGTCCATCAAAATGATGTGTTTGTTTAATGTGTTGGCTATAAATGTTACATTTTAATACAGGTACTAATTAGCTTAGTTGTTCTACCTTATAATCTTATATTTCCTATACCCCTATTAATGCAGATTATCACAGTACATTCAGTAGCAAAGTTTTTAAAACTCCTTTGCTCAAGAGTCATTCAAAAAGTCCTGCATTTTTGGGGAAGAGAGATTGAGTTTTAAATTCCCGCTTGCTCTAGAGCTGATCCAGAATGAGGATCAGCCTCCAGGGAGGGTTCATTCCTGGTGGCATGAATGCGTGATCAAGCTAAATGCATCCCATAAACGCCTTGATGACATTAAGCTAAATTTTTTAAAGAACAGATGGAGAAAGTTAATAAATATTTCATTCTATAATATAAAACTCACTTTCATATTCACAACTTCAGGGATCCTTGGCTTCACGGATATCAATGTCTGATGGATTTCTTGCTACATTCTCATACTTCTGCCCTAGTGTCTCTTATGGGATCATCATTTCTGCATGCTTGGATTGTTTTATGGGATCAGGGAAAGGCAAGTGACTGTAAATCTTGACCTCTTCTGCTCCTGGATTATATACTTTTATTCTTTGTGACCATAAGTGTTCATCTCTACAGTGAATAGATAATTAAATGACAAAAATTATTCAAAAGCAATTTATAGTGAGAAATTATCACTTGAAGAACTGTTGGGGCACAGGCATAAAGCAAGGAGATACCACCAAAAAAGCACTTTAAAATTGCCAAATAAAACATTGAAATAGATGTGCATTTGTAAGTGTCGTGAATCATCTATTCACCAGGAAAAAAACCATGATTTTTAAGTGTATATGCCAATTCTATTCAAACAAAATTTCCATTAATGGAAATTGTGAATTTTAATGAACTGTGAATTTTACTTAGGAACTGCTGACCAAGCCATATGAAAGAGATAATCTTTACMTGGGAGAAAGACAATTTCTCACTCTGTGCATGCCATGAATCTTGCAAAAGAATAATTAGAACTAGCTCCAAAGGAAAAAAAAAATGCCAGACTCAAAAAATATTTTAGGAAGAGATTTAACAAACTTTCTATACCGACAGTTTTCACTGTTTCCCAGAAGAGCTTTACATTACATTATTAATAAAGTACACTGAGTCAACAGCATGACATAAAACTCAGAAGATGTATGTTTAGCCCAGACAATGACACTCATGAGCAAAGCATGTATTTTTAGTAAGTTTGATTTAAAATTCATGCACATCACTTCAGCAAGCAGGGGCCCAACAAACTACTTCAAAGCACTACCCTGCGAAACACGACAAGATCAAATCTCGTCATTTCTCAAATATTTTTACAAACTTCCACATATCCGTGGTAAATTACTGCACGTCCTTGTACCTAAGTAGTTTTGTATGGAATTAACATGCGTTAGTCTTCCAGTCTGTCAAATAATGCACACCTGAGCAATTGCAGGAATATCTGAATGGCAAATAAAGCCTGTCTTTGTAGAACTCTTTTTCTATGTTATAGAATACAATACGGTCCCATTCTGAGCTGGCTGATAGGTATTACCATAACACACTAAATAATAAAAAATATTACTGTTCCCGTGCCCTTTCCCCCACGCACGGCCGCCTCTCAGGTTTGGGATTAYGTGTCGCCAGGAATCTGGCTCCTCAAAAAAGACGGAGCGCACAGCGACATTACTCCTTAAAGAAAGGCTATTTAATAAAAAGTAAAGTTTCAGGCCACAAAAATTGGTTTATTCATGTATTGAAAGCTAGGCTCAGGTACATTAATATCTTCAGAGTCAGGGCTTTTAATGAAAAAAAAAAWTCTGATATTTCCCGACATGCCATTAAAATGGTTGTCCTTTGACGTCAATTAGAGCTAGCAGAAAAAAAAAATCATCCTTAATTGCTTTTCAGAAGTAGACATTAGAGTGTACATCGTCGCAGCCAGACTCAATTACCTTTTACAAGAAACAAGGATGCTGGGAAGGGTATCAAATTCCAGGCCTCCTGAATATGCATGTGGCTGRGAGCAGTGGCCGGGCTGCTGCAGCGGAGCCTCTGCCTTGGACTGCAGAGAAACCAGCCCTAAGAGCTGGTGCCTGGGGCTGGATCCCGGCGTTCCCACCCCAGGCCTCTGCTCTGCCCCATCACGGGGACGGGGGAGCTACAAAACCCATAAACATGGCAGAATTTCTCCAAAATGTAAAGATTCCACAGCCGGATTTTCAGCTCAGGGCTGGTTTCCCTCCATCAGAGTCTGTGTGGAGTGCTCCAGCCTGGCTCTTTCCAACAGTGAATTTAGTCATGCGCCTATGCTGCCAATTATAGCTACAAAAAAAAGACCTAGTCCTCAACGCTTGGGTGTATTTCATCACAWGGAGCATCACCAGTTTTGCCAGAGGCTTTCTCTTACTCCAGGGACTTCATAATGTCTCTGCCAACAAGATAGAAGAGAAGTCCAGCRAGCAGAACCAAGGGCACCCCTGCGGCAGCGAACATGAAGGACCAGCCGTAGTACACGTGGACGGGCACATCGTCCAGGCACTTCTCACTTCTCTCCAGGAGAATGTACTTGTGGAGGTCGGCTGCCAACTCCTTCCACAGCACAAACAGGAACACGAGCAGCAGATAGAGGAATCCTAGGAGGAGAGGCAAAGAGCAGTTAGTTCCTACTCTCAGACATACAGAAATGAAATTGAGAACAGACTGCAACGGATCTCCACCTATTCGTGCAGTTCCCTTGTATTAGCGCTTAGAGATGCAATATTATTACTCACAAAGTTCCTCCTCAGATTCCCATGGAAATGAAACTTGCTCTGCACAGAAGAAATCTGCCAATATCATGACCTGCTTTGGAGCCATSAGCACATGCAAGTGATGCCATGTGCGCCTATCACCTTGCTGTCACCTTCTGACGTAGCCTGCTTGGCTTCCCAGGCCCAGAGCATCGCTGAGGACAGGGAGATGGTTACGACTGGAGATGGTAATGATGAAATTATCTCATCTTCACTATATGGGGATCCATATTGGACTGATTCTGGATTCCCATTTTAGAGAGTTGTTCTTTTTTTTCCCTAAGATAAGTTATAGTGGGAGACTAAGACTTGCTTTTACCATAAAGAAAAATCTACTACTCCCAAGTCCTGTCAGATCCAATTTCCACCATAAATACAAAGGTAGGGGGATTGTTCTGCTGGTGGAAAGTTTATTTGGCACAGAAACTGCTCTGGGCTGGAGATATGACCCAGCACCAAGTAGAATCCTCAGCCACTTGTGTTACTCTTCTTTAAAACCAGCTTTGCAAAYAACTATTAAAACACAGGGCAGTGAGGAGAGAGGATCCTATATCTTGGAGAAATAAAACATAACAAAGTGGAACAGTCAGACAGCCATGAGATATTAATCTCAGATGAGCTATTTCATAATATAATGATAAACAGCTTAAATCATGTGACTAGAAGGTCTTTTTAAGGTACAACCTTGGCAAGTGATGCTCTCTTTACCTCCCTTTCCACCCAGGTGGCAGAACAGCAGAGGCCCCGCTCAACTCGGAGCAGCAAGTTCAAGCTCAGGATCTGGTTTAGGCATGGGGAGGTCTCAGAGGTCTTGCAAGTTGCCTGTGACCCAAATAGCAGATCTCTCTGGAGACCTCCAGTATTTCCATATTCATCCACATAGAAGACTTCATGAGGTCAGCTCTTACTAGATGGGTTCAGTTGCATCTGAAAACCACATGGAGAGCATGCACCTCCCTGACCTCGTGTTGCCCAGGATGGTTTTATGGAGGTGTCTTAATAGGAACCTTCTTTCCTCATCATTCAAAATGATGATGATAGCAGGATGCAGGGCTATCTCCCCTCTATGAAACAGGGAACAAATCTAGTCTGGCTATGGTATTATTTCCCATGTCACATTTAAGAGTATATACAGCACAATTAAAAGTCAACATATATTAAAGATAAATAGTGATGGTGTGATGACAGAATTGAAAGCACTCCAGTAACATCCGATAAAACTACTCCCATATTTAAACATTAACCATTTAACACACATATACACACATACGTATGTGTCTTCATAGATATATGAAAGAAACACAACATCACAGAATATATTTTTATACCAGAAGTGAAGAGTACAAAATTAATTTAACTATGTTACCATATAGTTCTGCTGGGGTATTATGGCTTCTGCTGCATTTAATTTCTCCATTGCAGCTGTTTAATGAAAGCGAGCTGGTACTGYGTTTAATTATTCTTTCTGGCAGTTTCTAAAGAGAAAAAGTTGGTTTCCAAGCTAAGCAAAGACAGCAAGGAAAGTTGGGCACTGACGTATCTGCTTAGCAATGGTGGTTCCTGAAAGCCAGGTCACAGAAAGCATGTCAGAGCTCAGCTGGTTTTGAAGCATATTAGCAAATCTGTTGTTAGAAACTGCTGCTTCATATCTTGTAGCCTGAAACAAGAATTTTATGGTTTCAAAATAGTCTTCAAGTAATCCTCACCATATGTTCRGCAAAGGTTGCAGCTCCATAGGCTGAGCTGTCATGTTTATTAAAGTGTCTCCTATACCCTAGGACTTGTCCTCAAATCTTCTGAATCAAGAATTTGTGCAATCATACAAATAAATTTTACATCCCAACACTATTATTTCAAATCATTCTTCCTTATATAGAAAAATCCTTGTGTTTACTGCAAAGGCAGGATAGGAACTAAATACCAGCTGCTATAACACTCGCATGTTCATTGAAATTTTAGATACCACTTGAAATTAAGTGCACAAATAAGTATTTTACACTTAATATGAGTTGTATGCTTAAAACACCAACTATAGGAAAATGACTGAATATTTAATAGTCACATGTTCTATACAGAATACAATATATTGATAAGAAGGCAATTAAGTCTTTATTACTGATGTAATTTAAAATTAAACTAATTAGATAGCAAGTGAACCTTGAAAAGTGCTCTTTTAAAGATCAATTTATATTTCATTAACTTATAATACCTACCCTAATAGACACAAATAAAAAAGTCCTCTCTGAGGGACACAGGACACGAGTACAATGCATTATTTTCTAGAGCTTTCTTGCATCTGCTTTTCTTTAAAAAAAAAAAGGTTTTTTTGTGCATTTTTCGTGGACTATTCAAGCCCGTTGTACATCCTTACAAGACCTTTTTGGAGCATCCCCTTCTCCCTGTGCAGGTCTCTGCTGAGCTTGCTCATGCTGGACTCCTCTGGTTGGCTTCCTTCAGACCCACTAAACCTCCCGGTCCCTCTACTTACATCTTTTGGGGGAAGTTTCCCAAATCTAAGAATACCACCCAAAACCAATGGCAAGCTGGAAGACCTGACACTTGAGCACCAACTATATCCCTGACCAGGTTGTCCTCCACCAGCAGGCAATATCTGCAGCTGCAAGAACGCTGCATCTCTGCAGCCTCTGTCCTCCCATCAAGAGTGGCTGAGATGCGCCAGTCCATAAGAAAAATCATGAGCCCAAAGAAAATACCAGGCAGGCCAAAAACAATTTACTCCCTGGACAACTGAGCTTGAATATCAGAGTGCTAATGAGCAGGGAAGCAGCCCCTTCGGTGTCCCCAGGAGCACCACRTCTCAACATTGACGGGTTTAGTATTAAACGGGTGCTGGAGGTGACGGCACAGCCACAACAAGGAGGCTAAACGGAGCCCGCGCCAACACGCCGTGAAAAATGAGCAAAGAAGCTGCAGAGTAAGCGAGTTCTGCTGCAGAAAACCTGCAGCTGAGTCAGAGGAGTCCCTGGGATTTACAGGCTCTCAACAAGGAGGAAAGACGGTAAAAAGGACAAGTGAAATTTATAAATAAAGATCAAGTGCAGGGAGGAGAAGCGATTGAAAATTTGGGGGGGGGCAACAAGTTTCCATCAAAAATGCTTTCTTGGAGCAATCAAAACTATTCATAAATGTGTCTAAAATCTGACGTACCTTTAGGCATTAAAAATGATCTGTTTGCTGTTAGAATATGAGGATGTTTTGCTTCCCTATTTTCAAAGTAAGTATTTGGGGTTTTATTTTCAAATGATATTTCATCTTGGATTTTTCATAAACTTCTGCTTTAAAAAAGTCTCACTTTACTGCATCCTTTGGGGGACTTTCTGTTTCAGTAACAGCTGAAAGACATTTGTTCTATTCCAGCCACAAATGGCTTTCTATCTACACAGATCTCATCTTGGTCAGCAAACTGAAAAAAAAACTATATTTTTCTTCACAGCTCTACCGAGAACCCAAACGGGTGCCAACACCCCTGCCCTGGGCGCTAGGGAGGGAGCASAGAGGTCCTGGGCACTTTGTGTTCTTGAGATTATAACTGCAGAAATCAAACAGGGATGAATAAGAAGGGATCAGATGCAGAGGCTTGACATTTACACAGCTACTAGAGTGCTGTGAACGCTTGCGTAGCTCCGGATGAAGAGGAGAGGAGCAATAGGTATCACACCGAGCAGAGGAACCGCTCCGGGGTCCAGCGGAGGAAGCCACGGAGATGCATGGAGTTTTGCTCCCCATGAGATTTCTGCTAAGAGCAGCGTGGGGACAGGCTGCTGGATGTAGAGGACACTTGGGCAGGTGGAAACTTTCTCCTGGGGAGGAGAGCGGTGGTGTCTCTGTTGCTGCACATTCGGTTYTGGTAGGTGTAAGCAATGGGCTTCTCCAACAAGATGATTTCTGTGTCCCTCTCAACATCTCGGTGGTTTCTGCTGTCTATAAAATCAGCAAAGCCATCTCTTGCCTTCTCTCCCTTTCCGTGTTGCCTTTATTCAATAGGATGGTATGGAAAAAAAATGAGCTGTGAAACTCRGGCTTGGTGCTGATAAGGTCAATGGCATCTTCTGGAGAGGGGCTGATAGCGAGAGAATTGAAGTGGGGCATTAAATCCTTCGCCTCCGCGCGCGAGTGACACCATCCAGGGGCTAACTGCAACACAACGAACCCCGGGAGCTCAATCTTGCCTTTCCGAAGGAGAGTCGCACCTTAATTGTGAGTAAATTGAAGTCTGTCTTTTTCTTCCTCTCACTTATATCGCCATGACACCTTTATAGCTGCTAATTGTAGGGACAGGTGAATGAACCCAATCTTTAACTCTTACTCTGAGAAAGCTACTGAACTTCCATATAATCTGCTAATTACAAGAAAAATGAACTATGACCATTAGCGACTCGTTTGCCTTTCTCACTAGTTGCCTCTTAGAGATGTTAATAATAAGAAGAAAATGAGYGCTGACCTTCAGCAGCCCTCCAGAAACGTGAGCTGTTGCAGTATGCAAAAAGCCTGAGAACTGGAGAATTCATGACCTGGGAAGAGGAACCTGAGCATAAAATTCAGCAGTTTCCAGCCACAAGACTGTGAGGAAGGTTTGTTTTATTTTTCTTTGTGGTGCAATCACACCACAAGGGTGTTGTAGGGGGGAGTGATGCACGCTCCCAGGACTCCTCTCGTGGGACTATCACACCTCTCCTGGTGCCTGTTGGCTGTTGGCTGGTGCCTGTGACCACCACGTGCCCTGCATGGGCAGCAATGAGAGCACAGCAGCATCTGTCGCAGAAGGAGCATCGGGATTGCAGTGGCTGGGAGAATACAGTCTATACGTTTGATCGTGCACASGTGCTTCCTCGTATAAGGAGAGTTGGCAATGATCTCCTGTTTATGCTCCTCATCATCTCCTTCTTTGGAGATCTTTAAAACMCGCTTGGATGCAGCCCTGTGCCATGTGCTCTAGGTGAYCCTGCGTGTGCAGGGGGGTTGGACTCGATGACCTCTGAGGTCCCTTCCAACCTTGGGCACTCTATGATTCTGTGATCATCACCAAAACCRCTATTCTCACTGTTTGCTTTGAAAACCCCCTGCGTGTGCAGCATTGGTCTGCATGCTTTCTCCAGGGTATCTTACTCTTGCCCAGGGGGTCAGGTTGGTCTCAGGTCACTTCTTCACTTCCAGCTACTGCTTTGCAGGTGATCCAGGGTTGCTGCAGTGACACTGCAGGCTCCACAAGCGCCCTGTGTCTTCGGGAAGGACATCCTGACCTTCAAACTTGGCTGCCAAGATGCCCAAAGGAAACACAAATGGAGGAGCACAAGTACAGCAWAGTGGGCTCCTCTGAAGAAATGAAGCACTGTTTGGGGGAAGAAACGGTGTTCATCCACCCTTCTTGGTGTGTCTGCAATTATAATTAATCATATTGTCATTTGCCTATTGAAACCAGCTAAAATTAGTCACCAGATAGTGCCTTTCTTCCCCTTTCAAGCTCCAAAGTCAAGTCTGAGATGTCAGATGGTGGATAGACAAGCAAAGGACTCGTTATTTGCTCATGCATCTCGGGCACTTTTGGAGGCAGCCTGGCAAGRATAAAGGCTCGCTGGGTGAGACAGAGGTACCAAAGCAAACACAGCAATCGTCAGGCAGGATCCGGCCGCCTTTCCCGGGTCACCCAGCAGAGGAAACCAAGGGAGATGGGTGTTTTGGAAAGAGCTCTCAGAAATACCACCCACTAAGCGCTACATTTGTCACGGTAGCTGGCAGACGATCAGATTCGTCCTTTGGAAAGTACAGTAAATAAAGGGCATCTTGGTAAGCAAACCCAAAGGATTCTGACTGAGCCATAAAAACTTCACCCGCACACACAGAAGCCCAAGCTAAAATAGAAGGACGCACTAAAATCCTTGAAATAATTCAGAGCTGGGAGCCCAACTCTTCTGCCAATGCTGCGCTCGAGGAAACCGCTCATCAGGAGCTCTGTACAGAGCTGTATTTGAGAGTGTTTTGAAGGCAAACACTCCGTTCTGCAAGTGAGAGCTGTGTCTTAGCTGTGCAATGAGGAGAGCCGGATGGGTGACTATGTGTGACTGTGAGAGAGGAGCTGGAGYAAGCACCTCGCTGCTCTAAGGCAAACCAGATCAGTAACACGCGTGCAAGGTCACCTGAAAGAAATTCAGCAGCATCTGGTTAACCACAAATGTGCTTGGGAGCGTATTTACGCCAAGAGCATCTTTAGAGCCTTTCTGTGGCTCATGGCTCTGCAATGACGAGCCAGGGCTCTCATTTGGAGACACTTTTGAGGCAGCCTCCGTGAGGGGCTGCAGAAAGGGGCTGGATCATCAGCCCCGGCAGCATCCGCGGTCCCGAGATCTCACCTGGAGACGGGGATGCATGGGAAGATATGGAAAAATAATGCTCTGTTTTGGGGCACCCGAAGAGTCAGGTTTGGGGCAGTTTCACCCAATCTCGCCATCTGATTGCCAGGCTACATCCCTGCTCAGCAAAGTGCCAGCCTCTTCACACTCCCTCAAGGAGAGATCATTTTTGTGAAGAGGTTAATTAACACTGGCCCGTGGGCCATGATTAGAAGGGCATCCGCGCTTTCTGCTGTATCATCACTCCACATTCTGCCATGCCAATTGGAGGAGCTGCTGGGGACCCGAAAGCCTGTTAAACCTGCTGTTTTTAGAAGAAAAGCAAGAAAAAAACACAGAGGGATGCACCTCCAAAATTAGCAGAAAATCTAAGTGGGCTTGGCTGAAAATGCTGAAATATTATTATGTTCTTTTGGCTTTCATTTAGACAGAAAATAACAGCAATATTTTTTTTCCAGCTGAACTTACTCCTCCTAATGGTAGTTACTAACAACGACTGCTGCTCAGATTGAAGCTGCGTTAATATAAACTCTGTTTCAACAGTGGCATCTTTGTCTGATGCCAAGAGCTTTATGGGCTGCTCTCTTAAAAAGTGTCAAACTCGATGTCCCAGTCTTTTAATCAAAAACTGCAAAAACAATGAAAAAATGAATAGAGTGTTTCAACATTACTGTATTTTCTTTTCTGTGTGATACATTACCTCAATTTTGCTTTAAAATCCGGCCAGTGCCAGAATGGGAGAACTCTCTTTTTTTTTTTTTTTCCACTTTGGCAGAAGATAGAGTGGTTTAAAGTAGTGCTTTAATTGGGGTAACCACAGAGTGTCAAATCTACGCGAATTCAAATATTTGGCCTCAACCTCACAGCGAGAGATGACTTTAAATCACACGCGTGTCAAGCTGCCAGTGCCACTCACTAGAGGCCCTGAGGACCTAACGTGGCTTTTGCCGCAAGCCTTCCTGCCTTCCCGAATGGAATTCATATGGGGAGCACCAGGTAATATTTTCCATTAGAAAAATAAAGCTCAAGCGAGTGATTAATAAACTATAGACGAGAGAGATAAGCAGGTATCCACAGGCTTGCTAGCCGTTATTTCAATAAGTAAAGACCTGGAGGCAAATGGGAAATTGGACAAAATGCAAAGTGAATTAGCAGAGGCAGGTAGGGCCACATTGATTTAGTGTCTTCTGGATTTTTTAGACAAATAGATAGATGTCATCTAGCTTCATTTGAACAAGCAGCACAGCTGGTGTCACATGGCTAATTATTAGTACATCTGGAGGAGGCAGGGATTAGAAAAGCAGCTATAAAATGGGTAGGGAGCTAAATAACGGGGAAAACAGCAAAAGGGAATAACATAAGGGCATGATGAGTTTGGAGGTAGTTTAAAAGGAGTCCTTCCAGGGTCATTTATCAGGCCTCRTTTGTTAAATATTTTCCTGAATGTTTTCAGTGGAAAGAAGGGGAGCATACTACAAGCCAAAACTGGGAGCAAAAGCACTGGCTCTTGTTTGATTCCTGCTGTGTTTGAGGAAGCAGGACCTGGTGCAAGGTCCCTAATTAACTGTAATGGCTTCAGAGAAAGCCCCAACTTCATATTGAAGGTCTTGGTTTGGCACGGCTCATCCAAACTTCAACCCCTAACTGTTTAGATTGCAATGAAGATGTTTTTCCCAGCTTGAGTCACGGTTATAAATCAACTTACAGTTAAGTCAGGTACTCGTTCTTAGAGTCCGAGTCATAGAAAATGGTGATAATTCAGTGGAATAACTGGTAAGCTTAATGGAGATAATGCTTGCTTGCCAATTTCTAATTCATTTTCCTGCTTCGATATTGCTTTATCTTTTCAGATTAGATTGAATACATCCTCCARTTCTAAATCACCGGGAAGTCCTTTCCATGAGCTTCCAGCTCTGTAGAGCTGTGAGCAGCAGCACAGGAGAGGCCCAAGCGGGAAGGCTCCTTGCAGGAGCCCCGGGATGCTGCGGCCGTGGGCACACAGAGCCCCGCACCCGGCGTGCAYGGGAGGCTCTCAGCTCGGCAGGAGCAAACCAAAAAGCACATTTTCCAGGCACGGGCTCTACAGAATACCTTGTAAAGGCTCAGTGCAGCACAGCAGCCTATTTCCAGCCAGGAAAGGGGAGAAAATCATTTATTCGAAGTCAGGGCTTCTCCTTGGAGCTTTCTCCGGGATTGCCTCCTTATCCGCGCGCCTCCCGCCATGGAGGCTGTGGCCTCCGCATCCCGGCCGCCCCGTTCCCGCGGCTCGGCAGCTTACCGGCGGCGAGGAGGAATCCGCCCCCGGCCTTGTGGAAGCGGGCGCTGCCGAAGGGCACCCCGCACACGAGCAGGAAGCCTCCGACGAGGCTGGCGGCCACGGCCAGGGTGATGAACGCCGTCCAGAAGCCCCGGAACACTGCGGGGAGAGAGGAACGCGGTTACCGGAGAGGACCCCACACTGCCACACCAGGTGTCGGACGGCTCCACGAGACTTGTGCATGTGCAATAACCTTGCTGGGGTGGAGGCTGGGAGGAGGAGGCCAGAACCAGCTGGGCTGCATGGCATGCACCAAGTAACGGGGCTGGACCCAGGGTTGAAACGGTCGGGAAGGAACCAGGTCACCAGTGGGACATGCGAGAGGGAAGGATGGGACTGGGTCTGCTGATTCCCATCTCCGAGTGGCCAGGTCTCTTCCCATCACTACCCTAAAGCTTGCCCAAAGGCAACGATCTTCAAGGGAAAATGCTCTGATATCTAATTCCTAATTCCTAATAGAGATTCCTAATTGCTCTATCATGGATCAGTCCATGTCTGTTAGTCCTCCCAGCCCGTCCCCTCTTGCTCTGCCTGCTGCTTTTCAGAAGAAAAAGTCACAGAGACTGGAGCTGARCACGAGCAAACGAGTCCTTCTGACATGACTCACACGTGGAAGAAATACAGCAGASGGAAGATACGTTTTGCTCATTTCAAACCATTTTGTCAGGAGAGCCACTTAGAAAAAGGTATCACCAGCCCTCCAAAACCACAGAATTCGTTTTCCTGGTTATCCTCGTGCCACCCGTTCCTCTCAGGGAGCCCGAGAGGCTGCAGAGCAGCCAGAACTGACGCTGGAAGAGGCAATGACTGAGGCCGCTTTTGCTTGCATCGTTTTGGTGGTAATTTACGTGTGAGCATTGACTGGTCTAAATGGTGCACGGGGCTGGCGGGCGCTCCGTGGCTCGGCAACAGTATTTTATACGTGAAAAAAATCCCCGTGCTTAACCTGGATGTTTGTTATACAAAGCCTGAAATGGGCTACTCTTTTAACCATTGACAAGTTTCTTGTATCCATTTTATATTGCAGCACGTTCCCCGAGGCAGGAATCTCACACAGCAGAGCCGAAGAAATAGCTACTCTCCCTCAAATGCTCCCGCTGACAAATATTTTTTTTAATTAATTCCTCATAAAAAAATAAAAAATAAAAAAGGTACTGCTGAAGGCTAAGGAAAAGGTCAAGATGTTTGTTTGTGCAGCACGCCAGCCCCACATCCCCAGAGGCAACGCAGAGTGATGCACACTATTTAAAGAAATCAATTCATTTCAAAAAAGATCATTGAATTAATTCTAGCTGCTGCCACCAATTTAGCAAATTAAAATTCCTAACAGCAGCTGATTCATTAAAGAACTSTGAAAATACAGAGAAACATAAATAAAAAGGGAACCAGTTGAAAAGGAAAGCTCTCTAACAATTTTGCATTCGGTGCATTAAAAAATAAGCCACTCACTTATGTGAGTCTTCTAAGAACTTGGTGTTCCACTGATTTTGCAGTGATTTTTTTATCTCGCCACACAACAAACGGGCACCAGGGCTGTCCCAGGAAGCAGACACAGGTCAGTGCTGGATGCACAAGCCCAGCCYGGGAGCAGTATTTCCCTCGCCTCCCTGCTTGGCCATGTGCAGCCTCTGGCTTTGGTGGTGGAGCAGGAGCCCTTTGCCTGGGGAGCAASGTGGGTTTAGCACCATCCCTCACCATCAGGAGTAGCTGCTGGGGTAGCTTYGGTCACACTGCCCTCCTCCCCAAAATAAAGGGTGGTGAGAAGCTGTGCTCCCCTGGAAGGTGCCTATGGAGTTTCATCTTTTTATGGGATKTATGAAATCCTTCTTTCTGTCTGCTTTTGTCGTGGTCAACAGGTCCAGCTGCTCCCCTTGCCCTGGCTGTGGCCAATGGTGGTAGCTGGTGCACAGCCATCAAATGCCCTTAAATTAGGGACTAAACAGTGTCTGGCAAACTCTTACATAGACTGCAGAAAGGCAAATACGTTCTTCCTCTTCTTCCCCACCCATTTGCAATGAARCACTGACATGCACTGATTGTTTTGGAAAAGGAGGTGGTGGGGAATGGGTCAGGAACCTACCTGCAGTTGTATCATACGAAGGATGCGGAGAAGGTCCAAGAGCAATGGGCAAGGGAAAGAGGTATCCATGCATGCAGAACTTGGGATGGGCTTGGCTGGCTGAAAGAGAACAAAACCAAAAAAGTTTGCTTTTATTTTATGCAAAATCCTACTTATTCAGGCAATGTGTGCTATTCTCTGAAGCCTGCAAAGCGGCCACTGAAGTCAGCAGGCTGGGCATGGAAGTACAAGGTGAGTAAATGGTGGTTAGAAAGAAAGGAAAGGAAAGGAATGAGAGGGGAGATAAAACAGGATTCCAGAATGCCACCCATACGGTCTGTCTCTCCACCAAGTGAGTCTGAGACAGAGAGAAATCATGGAACATGGTGGAGCTCAAATTGGTGCCTATAATCCTCTTTTTTTTCCTGTTTTCCTCTAGAAAATTGTCATACTCCACAAAAAAAGGCCAAGATTTGGGTCCTGGGACAAGCTATCTTCTGAGACCTCTGGTTTGTGAGAAAGGGAAGCACAATTAGACTGCAAGTGCCCCATCAATATTAATACCACTGAGGCTTATCATGATTAACGGTAATAGAATGAATGTTAAATGAATTAATTAATGGTTGGCCACTTATTTAAATATGTTCCCCAGCTCAAAGGAACACTTTATAATAGGTGGACATTAGTTCATGCTAAATTGACTATGGAATACCTATTGAATTAATTATTACATCCATGAGAGCAGCAAATTAATTTGCCATGATCAATCCTATTATAATAAATACCTAAAGAAGTAATACAAATTTGCCTGTTATCAAAAAGAGTCATTTTACTTCAGGTGACATGATATTATATAATATATTTCCATATAATGTAATTAGATGGTAAATTCCGTCTCTTGAGCCTTTCTTCCTCCTTTTTTTTTTTTTTTTCAAAAAAAAAAAAAAATCCGTCTGAAGAACCTCAGTTTCTCTATTGAACAGCAGCAGGAACATTTCCYGAAAGATTTTACAGGGAACAGAGGTCAGGGACTGAGGGACAAACGTCATCTGAAATGTTAATGGCCACGGAGTGCATTTATGGGGGGACCTGCCTTATTTCCCTCCCGATCTCCTACACGCTCAGGCTTCTCGCAGCCCGTGCGCAGCTTTGGGATGACCAAAGCAGCCCGAGCGCAGAGAAACCCAGCGCAGGGAGAGACCYGCGCTCCTGCAGACCTCATTCCAAAGCTTTTTTTTTTGTTTTCTCCCTTAATGCTCATCCAAGGTTGCAGCATCCCAGGGAGACGCTGTCCTCCAATAATTCCCAAGCCTTCAGCCGGGCCAGGCGCCGTTTGCTGCCATTCAGTTGTTTTTTTTTTGGTGTGAGCTCCTGGTTCACTGGGCCAAGAGCCCGCACTTCATTGCACATGGGCCGCCAGTCGGCACCAACTGGTGTCTCTGAGCAAATTCCACCTTTTCTTTCCATTTCTGAATTTACATTCCAGTGACTGTGCTTCCAGAAAAAGATTTTGCTTCAACCTCCTGTTTGGTCACACTGAAAGCATCGCKCATGCAATTTCAGTGACCTTGAAAAACAAAACAGACAGGGATTTTTTTCTTTAAAAAAACAAACAAACAAAACCATCCACCCTTGGATTCCTAAAGACGTGAACACATTTGGATACAGTTCTCCATAGAGAAAGTCCAGAGCACCAAAGATTGCACCCATGCACATTTAGCTTTACCCTTCCTGAAGTCAGTGAGAGATAGCAGCACACAATACCCTGCTGGCTGAAAACACTAAAAAAAAGCAACATTACGGACAAAAAGAGCTGCAAGCTCAAATATAGCAGTCATTCAGCTGAACTCAGACATGCAGGGATTATAGGGGAGAATTGTCCTTGCGGGTGGAAGTCATCATTCTAGACGTTTTGGAGGTGATATTTTAACAGGCAGCCAATGGTTCCTATGCGACTGACCCCAGAACAAAATCCAATTAAAAATAAAACCAAGAAAAGGAGCACAAAAAGAGTGATTCAGATTTGCTTCTAATGGAGAGATGGCAATAAGTAAAAACAAAAGGAAGAGACAACTTCTCCTCTGTGGGAGCCCCTGTTCGGCTGCTTGCTGTTCAGATTATGACTGAACTCTAAAAATACAACGGGGTGGAACCAGAGGCTCTCAACGGCAGTGCTGACGTGAACCTACCACAGCAATGTGCCCAGGGGAGTGCCGGCYGGCGATACTCACTGTACCAGAAGCTCCAGATGGTCCCCACGTCACCTTCTCCAAAGAACCAGCACCGCCAGAAGAAGCCCTCATGATGGAAAGTGAGGAGCTCCTTTCTGGTCTCAGTCAGGGTTTCAGCCTACAGAAGAAGAAAAACCAGGTTGATAAGGGGGCGATTGCTGCACTTGCAGAAAAACCCTTGGCAGCCGCCCTGCCGYTGCTGGTGCATTATTTGCTGGATGAACTTGTCTGTGTTGGTTGGTGAGGAGCTGGGGGATGCAGAGATAGCTGCTTCCCTGGGCTTCCCGCCTCTTCAAAATTGCACTGCAGAGCAACATTTTGCCTGTATATAATAGTCTTTGCATGAACCAGGCTAAGACCATCGACAAATAGGCCTTTTCTGGTGCACCCRCTTCAACCCACAGACCAGACCTGCAAAAGGAAGTCTTAGGTCTTTCCAGAAGGGGGAATATTGCAGTGTAAGTCCCTGAAGTGAAGAAAATAGTTGGAACTCAACAGAGTTATTATTAATACAGAGGTAATTAGAAGATAATTCCCTTGCCTTGAAGTCTTCCTGCACCAAGTTACAGCAGCTCCTGGAGCTCTGACCTGACTCTCCTTTCACTTGCAGAACAAAATCCAGACGATGACAATTGTACGTCATCRGGTGATCTCTGCTTAACCACTTTGGCAGAAATCCAAGCTCATCATTATCTGTCAGGGACAGACTTTGCCAGATTAAGGCAGGCTGGAGGAGGTAAAAGCACAGCCGTAGAGAACCACCACCAACCGTTCAAGTGTCTGCAGCAGGAGTGAAATATCTCCGAGGAAAGGGTAAAAGCCGTACCTGTTCCTGCCTGCCACCTTGGAAGTCTGGGCGGCCATCCCACCGTAGGCCTTYCAGTAGAAAAAAACAGTCTAGAAACAGGATTCAAGCCAACGGCGTCCTACATTTCATTATGAGGTTGTGGAACTACAGAGAAAGCTTCATGCCTGCATCCCAACGCTACCAGACGTGGCACAGCACACCAGGAAAAAACCGAGCTGAACTTGATTGAACTTGGAAATGACAAAAAGGGCTGGATAGAACAAGGAGCTTTCTGTCATTTTTTAATTGAAACCACACACTGGTTGGCACAGAAGTATTTTTGAGGAGCAGRAGGTTCAGGGAACTGATTCTGGTTGTTATTTCATTGAACAGCTAGACAGTAGCAAGTTCAGCTAAAATGAAGCTTTTTAAAAGGATTTATAAATAAGCAATATTAGAAGTAACTATAGGAAACATAACCAAACTGTCCTGAAAATTGCATTTCCTTCTACCTGAAATCCTATATTAAACTTACTTTTAGAATATATAGACCTCTTCATGTTAGATGGAAAGGAATTCTTGTCTGCTCTCTTATGCATTTGATGTTCACTTTTGTTTTCTGTCTGTGCTGCAGTCATATCACTTGAGACTTAACTGATTGCCAAGTTCTGCACTTTAAAAGATGATCTATTTTTAAATGAAGAAACTACAGAGGGAAAAACAGTTTAATGGCAAATATCAGGAGATATCTTTTGTTTTTAGAAGCAAACGCTGTCAACAAGTAAAGCTATTACATTTTTGTTTTTCATTCCCTACCATGAATATCTGTCAGAACACAGAAGTGCTGATTTTAATGGTTGTAGAGATTGCCTCAGTCGGAATGCTAGATGCTACGAAAACGCTGGTTCTGATGAAAAACTTAGCTCAGGCTGAGCTTCTGCAGTAGTGGGTCACATTCAATAAGCAATAATATTCAATAAGCACAAATATTATCACAGATTCAAAACTGCCAGCACCCTAAGTTAAAGCAGTTGCGTTGGCTCTAAGCATTTTTATAGCAAATTGTTCAAATAAGCGAACTCCTTCCCTTGCAGAAGTAATGCAGGTTTTGGCTTTTACCTCCCCAGTCTGAAGGGTGTCATTCTCACGCCCAAAGATCCCACAGGTCTCCGTAGCTAGAAGCCAGTAATCGGTGCCGAAGGCGAGGAGGAAGAGCAGGACGCCGGTGCCACCCAGGAGCCCCGCCACGAAGGTGGGGACGCCGGCCCGCATGGCACAGCGGGTGGGCAACGCAGCCGGAACGCAGGAAAGAAGGAAAACACGAAGGATCCGGGGTGGCTGCAAGAGAGGGGTGAAGGGAAGGGCTATTTTGGGACCCTGATAAGAATCTTTGCATGGGTGGTGTGAGTTTCACGAGGCGCTGGGAAAGGGGCTAATAAAAGCAGATGACCTGGCCTAACCAAACAGCTGTGGCACGAAGGGAACATGACAAACAGCTATTGAGGGCGAGCAGGAAGGCTTCCAGCAGGACACATGGCTGCTCGTTTCAAAAGAGCAGCGCGGGGAGGCTTGAGCTCCGGCCTGCCAGGCAACTTCCCTAGGTCACGAGTATTTATTATGCAGAGCTGTCCAGGAAACCAGGTAGTTTTTAAAGCCCTCTGCACGCAGGGGATTAGCACTGAGGCTGCACTCTGCATGAGCAGATCCAAATCTGGAGATTTTACCATTGCAAAAAGGCCAGGTTCCACAGGCTGTCCTGGAAGATAGGTTAGACCCTCATATCCGCAGCTTCGAAGCCGCGCTCCCTCAACTCTTTCCTTCTGTTCCTTTCTCCTCTAAAACAAAATGCTAGTTCAGACTTCACAGAAACCCAAGAAATAACATTAAAATGTTGGTAGCTCTCTCTCCTAAAATCTTGGTGCTTTCAGAGGTGATACAATCATCCCATGCAAATACATTCACATCAGATGGGTCTACATCTAGCTGTGTAAGGAGCATTTAAATGAGGTATAAGTACCAAGAGATCTAGAGAGTCTTGCTATGCAGTTGAAGAAAGACAAACTCTTCTCCACTTTTGCAACAAAAGGGTGTAATATATAGCATCCATACCCCTTCCACCACCTGACCATGCTTTGGAAGAAGTGTCTCATTGGGAAGGAGAAGATTCCACCATGGAATTTCATTGCCATTTGGATCCTAGTGGTTTTTTTTGTCTTTTGCTGAAGCATCTGCTGTAGATCACTGCCAGAGAGAGGATGCCAGGGTAGGAAAATTATAATTTCTGTGTGGCAATAACTATATTCCTGTGACATGCCAAGAGTCTGAGGGAGAAAATTTAAATCATAGTGAAAATTCAAATTATGATTTTTCTAACTTTAGCCTAAATCAGGAACTCCTGTAAACAGAGGATAGATGAAGAAGTTGACTTCTCTATTCTGTGAGATTTTGCGTTACCGATTTAATTCCTGAATCAGGAGAATAGTTAAAGTTAACTGTGCACATATGGATAGAACAGAGAAACTACGAATTACTTAGGGAAACTGGAGAGAGGAGGGTAAAATGTTGCCTTTTAGCCAACTGTTGAGGCATATGGACTGATGAATACCCTTGCTCATGTTCTATGAACACAATAGACTTTCAGTTAGAATAATTGATTGTATCATCCGCATTGTTCTTGCTTAAATATTGCAGGCTGGGATAGCTTTTAAATAAAACATGAGGTCTCTCTTCCTCATAGCCACATCGGATGAGCTGCTATTTGTTCAATCTGACAGCCCAAGCACGTGAGGCATTTGATAGATTCCARAAGAGAGGTCCCTGCCCAGGAGAGCCCTTATGTAGATAGATGGAGAGGGAGAAAGCTCTCAATGGCTCAGGTTGCAGAATTACCATAACACAAGGTCTGAGATAAACCCCAGTCTGCACCACCTCCTTGCTAAGGCTCACAGGGCAGTGGTGGACCAGGGGAGGATGCGCCAGGAGGTCAGCAGGAATCGCTGCATCTGCGGCCGTGGGGCAGGAAAGGGGGTGGGCAACGGGACGGGACGGCAGGTCAGAGCTGCGGGCTAGAGACAGCRGAGCAGCTCAGAGATCAGATTGATATCCCAATAGGACTCAAAAAGGGAAAAATATCTCCTGACGTTAATATAGAGGAATTAACCCCCCTGAAACTGAGCGTATTGGTCTTGACAGGTAAAGAGATCATTGTGTGGCTTTAAAACATATATAAAGCCTTTTGATACTGGGAGTAGTGGATGTGCATCTGGTAGGAGAACTGCAGTACACAARCCATGACAGGGAAGGTAGAGCCATATATCATGTCTTGGCCCTGCTTAACTGCCCCCTTTCTTTAACACAAACTGTTTAGTCAACTAAGGGAGAGGAGATCATTCTGACATGACGCATACTCCCTCTTGGACCTCTTCATATCCATAGAGGATCCATATGGATTCATACCCATAGAGAGGATCCATATGGATTCATATCCATAGAGAGCAGCTCTGCTCCTCACAAGCTTGCTCAGCAATCCTGGCGTCATTTAATCTCCAATAGATATACTGTCAATAGTTTTCCATTTAACTAACATGTAATACTGGCCAAACCTGACTTGAGCGACAAGCAGCATCAGTTACCACCTATTCTCGTGATCATTATCTCAAAGCTGAGCACAACGGCCTGGGAAGCTTTGGAGATGCCTTAAGAAGCTCAGTGAAGACAAGGTTTGATACACCAGAAGTGAGCACTTTTTTTGCAAATTGCTCTGTAATTGCATAAAATTAAAATGTAGAGTGGGCTCTTTTAAAAAAAAAAAAAAAAAAAAAAAAAAAAGGATTAAGGCACACTTCCACATCTATGGGTATGCTTTTTATGCAGCTGTATTGGGCACTGCCGCAGTTATGCTAATGCGTATTCGCAAGTTAGCGCTGCTTGCCATTTGGAAGATGTCCTTGGCCATGCTGAGTCCCGTTGGCAGGAAATCCCCGCGTGGCTGAGGCAGAGCCTCGCTGGTGCCCRGCCCTGGCTCCTCGCGGGCTGCTACACGCACAGCCAAACGCTTTCCGAGCTCTTAGGCTGCGGAATACGAATTGAGTCTGCAAGGTCAAAACGTCTCTCTGTTCAACTCTCCCTTCTCCTTGGCGCACCCCCATGCAYGTGTTTCCTCACCATTAGGATGTGAAAAATTCCTGGACACGATGGACTATAAAGCTGCCTGGGGCAGGGGCCAGGAGGGCTCGGGCTCTGTGAGAGCTGCTGCCGCACACGAGGGGCTACAGCCCCTCTCTGCCCTCCTCTTGCTCCAGAAACCAGCCCAGAGGGTCTCTGCTCCTCACTCCTACGCAAAATCCAACGTAATGGAAGCTGAGCTTTGTTCTTGCTCTGCTGGGGGGCTTTTCTGGAAGGGATGGATCCCCTGGTGTCAAAACCGACCAGAACGGGCAGGCTCCTTACCCTGACAGGTGGCGGGTGCCACCAAACAAGGCAGAATCCACTGACCTATGAAGGACTGGCCAAGGAGCACCAGGACACGAGCAGGACCTGGGTCTCCTGTGGCTTTACACTCCTATGTGCACCTAGATCCCCTAAATATTGGCCCTCCATGTGGGGTATTAATCTGCCATATTGAGGGCTTGTAGTTACCACTTGGAGATACCATGAGCCCCGTGTGGCCAGGGATCCCCCAGGTCCTGCTTTCCTGTTTTGGAGGTGCCCGGGTTTCCCCCAGGCCTGAGCATTCCTAAATCCCATCATTTCTCCCCGAAGCTCAAGGCAAACACTCAGGAAGCTCAGCTAACTTCCGTGTTTTCAGTATTTTCTGTATTCTCRCACTTGAGCCCCTGTGAATTCCTCAAGGGCCTGACCCAGGCCCGGGAGTGCTGAAATGCAGCAGAAGACTCTTCTCTGTCGCCTTCTCCAGGATGAAGGGCTATATTTATGTGGGAGAGCCCTCGAGGGAAGGGAAGCAATCATCCCSAGCTAATCTGTAGCCTTCTCTCATCGCTAGCTGCTGCCTAAGTTCATATAACACCCCGAAGCACCAGAGCCACAGGGCGAGGATGTGCCTCTTTCCAGAGGAAAGGCCTGCAGCGCCGTGGATAGGACCCTCTAGCAGGGTCGTGGTGTCCCACCTTGTCCTCTTGGCCCTGCACTTACCTTGCTGCTCAGCTCCGGRCAGCTCTGTCAGCAAGAGGCCACATCCAAGCCGTGGTTTCTCTGGAATCGTGTTCCACGTGCTCAGCTGTGAGAGCTCAACCACTTGGTCCTGCCTCAATTCAAAGGGAAACAAGTTGGCTTTGCACAAAACTCTCCTCCCTCCAGCCTCAAGAAGCAGTGAGCTTTACCTGGCTTGGTTCACAGATCTGGTTTAGAAAGTGGACCTTGTTCCTGGAAAAAAAAAAAAAATATATATATATATATATATATATATATATATATATATATATATATAAACAATCCATGCATAAGCCTCAAAACCAACTTTTTTGTTGATTTTTTTTTGTGAGGCTTTACAAATTATGAAGGAAGAGTACTATGCCAGAGTTATGCAAGGGTATTAATTAAACGTCACCATAATTAACAGAGTCATCAGATACAAAACGTTAACAACAAAAAAGACACACTCTTTGCTCCCTCACCTTTTCTAGCGCCGTCCACAGTGGAGCTGCTTTGTCACAGAGTCCTAATGACGACGCAATCAAGGACAGAGTCGAGGGCTTGTTCATGTGAAAAGAGAAGCTTCATGCTGTGCATTTTAGTGACTTTTACTTCCTAATGGACCTTAATGATTTTTTTCATTAATCCGTTAAACTGAAACTGTGAATCTTCCAAATATATTTATTCTATCAAGTCAGCTCAGACTCCTCAGAATCGGTGTTTTACCTTCTGGCTGATCAGGAGCTCCATCACCATCATCGGAGCGCTACTGAAAGGCCACATTCTTCTGTTTTCACCTGTGCCCACAATAGCATTACGTTTTATATGGATAGATCAACATAGTTTCATTCTGTCATGCTGTAAACATATAATTTCTTTCAATTTCATAAACAAAACCAAGTTCTTTTCACCCCCAAATGTTCCACCTTTCTCTCAGACTCTGGATGCAGCTTAGTTATTGTTTCACACTGTTGTGAAACGTCTCCCTTCGGTCTCTTTGGAGACCTGCCCACCTCTCCACGTGGCGAGAGCCACCTCCCTGCTCGGTCATGCTCTCCACAACACTCCACTCAGTGCTTCCTATGGGACATGGTGTGGATGTCTCCTGCATGTCTCTTGTTTGACTGACATCTCCGTAATCCTCAGATGGAGGAAAGCGGCCGGGAGAACGAAGGGATCCAGTTCATGCTGAGCAGCGCACCAGACCTGTGTGGGAGCTTTGAAAGGTCCTCAACCTCCCCAGAGGTTCAGCCAGCGCTTTAGAGGGCTACCCACCCACATTAAACAAGAGGGAAGGGACAGGAGTATCATACTGACATATGCCCCTTTAATTCCATGCTAAAATTCTAATCACTGGTTCATCTCCAGCACCCTTTTCAATGCTCCCTTCTCCCGTTCTTTTCAAGGAGGCATACAGGTCTGAAGGAGCTTGAATGCTTCTCATGAGCCTGAGTATCCCCAGTACTTGATATCAAGACAGTGCTCAGTTGGCCTTGCCTGCTTCTGAAGGGTTTCCAGTACTTTCCAAGATTCAGCCACTATAATCGCCTTAAATAGTCAGGAAATGAAATATATAYAAGCATGATTGTATGGTCAAAATGGAAAAAAACTCCACAAAGTCCATATGCTTCATACAAATTCTTCAGTGTGGAGAGTGCAAGAAAGATTTATAGCCTCATTTTAAAATATTTGTTCTATGTGCCCATATCATTCCAAAATAATTTTGAAATCTCATTTACTCGCTCAGTAATTGAGCTAGTCAATAGCACTGACCACTTTTGCCTATTCCAACYTTAACTTTCAGAAGACTCCAGTAAACTTTCAGTGTAAGTAAAAAGCAATAACTCTCTGAAATACCAAGGGCATCAAACCAATGCAATTTATTTCCACAGAACCATGCAATATTCAATGATACAGTGAATTCATGTTTTAAAGGACTAAAACCCTGCAAAGAATTAATTAGGCATGCACTGAAGCCTGAGCTTTTAACAGTTTTCCACTCAGTTGTAGAAATTTAAGACCACCAACACTGGATACTGGCAAAGATTATCAAATGTATTCTAGGCTGAAATTTATACCAGTCATAGGGCTTGGCCACTAAGCAACTGGAAGATAATTCATGAAAGCTTGAGCTGTGCTATTATATTTTGTAAAGAAACTTAACAAAAAAAAAMCATACTATCCAAAAGGTTAAATTTGGGGCAGAGTGACTCACTGGGAAASTATGTGCTGCACAGCATTTTGTCTTCTCTGCAGATCAAGCAAATTGTTGACAGTGAGAGGTGTATTTATGGTCCCAGTGTTGCAGGTCCCAGTAAAGCAGGTAGGAAAGGGATTCACGGGGTGGGTTGGTTTCTTTGCAGGCTCAGGCTCAGGTGTGTGCACGTGCATTTGGGGCTGGCTGAAGCCACCAGTGTGGTAGGAACCTAGAGTGGCCTCTGCTCTGGCACTGCATCCTGGCCTCCTGAATGCCCCTGGCAACCTGGCCCTGGCACACATGCAAAAGCTCACATCGGAGCTGAACCACAGCTAGAATTTCTATAATCTGGGAAATTTTGGCACAGAAACGTTCCTTACTGTACTAAGACGCAAGGAAAACTTGCAATTTCAGAACTGTTCAGAGACCACTTATTCTGAAAGATTATCATTCAAAGCTGATGAAATTTGAGATTTTTGCTATTCCTGCGGCTGAAAAGTTTTGCTGTGTTGAATGAGCTCCTAGCACTTCTTTTCAAGTCAAATTTTCCCTCTAGGGCTTTGTTAGTTTAGATGTGGAGCCCACCACAAGCCAGCACTGAGGAACGTCTCCGTGGGAGCACTGGAGATGTCACCATGGAGGAAACAGACTGGCCTCACGCTTCCTCCCCATAGACACCACATGGTCATGGTACCCTACGCTGCCCTCACTAGGTGCCACATGTGTCACAAAAAAAACAATTTTTGATAAATTAACAGAAAAATTAGCTCAACAAGAACAAAATATTTGCATCTTTGCAGAAACAAAGTGGAAACAAAATGTTTCCTCTTTCCTTCGTCATGAGAAAAAAAACAGTTCTGTAAAGACCCAGTTTTCTGGAGCAGTGATCTGCTTTTTCCCCTCCTGTTGCCTTCTACAGTATTACAAAGAAATCCAGACAYGACAAACCCATCACCATTTGGTAGGGTCCTTGGCTACCCCTAACAGCATGGCAGAGAATTCATTTCACAAGATGGGCAAGCCACATTCAGCACTATTTTCCTCTCCTACGCACTTGCTTCTGCCGCTAAACAGATCGCCTTCATGGTGAGAGCTGCTGGACTTGCTGGTGAGCACTGAGCAAGGGCTGCCAAGGGAAGAGCTCGATGCTCGCTCTGCACAACGGGTCTCCCAGGCCTGCTGGGCTGTGGTTTATTTGGGCTGATGACAGACAAATGGAGTGTCTGTCTCAGAGTCACCGTCACTGATTTCACCCCGAGYACGTTGCGGATGCAAGGGGGCAATAACTCTTAGATGATCTCACTGCATATATATTTAATTGAGATAGAAACATAGGACATGTTGTACATTATGTTGCAGTATATTCAAAGATGAATGGCTTTCTAAACAAAGTGTATGCAAATCCACACGACACCCATGCCAATATGGGTTAAGCTAGGAAACAAACCAACATTCTAGTAAACTAGCTGAAGACAACAAGAGAATCACACTAAAATCACCGAATATATACATATATGCGTATGTACACACAAAATACCTATGTAAGGCTAAACAACCTGATTTTCACTGGCAATCAGATGATTTTATGTCAATAGGGCAGCGATGACTGGCCTTAAAAGTTAAAAAGAAATGTATCAGAAATATACCAATATATCAGAAATATATATGCAGGCAAGACAGCATAAASGAGTTTGTTCAAATGAAAACAAGACCTTCAGATCTTTGTAAAACAAAAATATTCAATATTTTGTCTTCAATTTAAAATGAAAGTTGCAATATATTGGGCATTGGTCTCCTAAAGGAGTATTTCAGCATGCAGAGAACATTGATTCTGAAAGTCCAAGAATACCATGGAAGGGGGTATGCAGACTGCTGCTTGCTCAGATTAAATGCTCTTTCAATAAAGCAAAGGAAGGGGAAGAGAAGGAAAAATTTTAATGTTCACAAAGCTAAACCTTCACCTGATGGTTTCAGCTGGGTATAAATCACTTACAGGCTTGAATACTTGCTGGAGCTTCAAGGAACATGGAGATGTCTCTCTTTCCTGGGCACTGTCCTTGGAGTGCTCCTCAGTCTGCACCTGCTCTGAAAAGGATGCTGTCCTTCCTGGCCAGAACACTCTACAGCRGATTTTGAGGCCTTCTCTCTGCCCAAAGAGACTTATTAAAACTTCCTCCATCCCTGTAGGTCTCTGTAAAGGGAGCAGATGCCTTTTCAGGGAGTTTCTGGAGATCTGCTACAAACCACCTCAGCACAAGGCTTGCCCTAARGGCTGGCACTCTCAGATGACCTTCTAGCATCAGTAGCGGACTTGGAGCTTCCCAGACACCACAAATCACTGCTGAGGAAACCTGCCATGTAGCAAGCACTATCTGAGAGGAAGGCAGCTGGGGGAGAGGCCCTCAGAATAGGTTGGAGTTTTGTGACACAGGCACAAAACCTTACACTGGTTCTGACATGCTCTTGAGCAGATGTCTTGGCCCATCCCCAGCAGATGTGCAGCAGTTTTGTGCAAGAGGAATGACTCAGTTCAGGAACTACCTCCCTCTTCCTCTCTCCTTCCTGCATCATGCTTTGTGACAGTTTGCATTTTACACGTATCCACGGGGAAAATTTGCTGGTTTCTTCATAGGACATTCTATTTTGGAGGGGAGGCATCCCTTAAATAAACTTAAAAAATCTGCAAGAGTCTCTTTTCCTCTTTTAGCCCAACCCTATTAAGTTTTCATTAAAAGAGCTACATGCAGGTGTGAGACTTACTCTCTGGTAAGGCACAGTGCCTGATTTTCACAATACGATTCAATTTTGGAATTCTGAACAGTCTCCCTTAGTCAAGCCTCACCCAAGGTGTTCCCAAGGAGCAGAAATGGACTTTTGCTGCTTCTGCCATCTTCTCTGGCAACACATTCAATTGCTCCATAAATCTCTCCCTACGATTATAAAGTTTTCCCTAACATATAATCTAAACTCTCCCTACTGCTTATTCTATCCTCACTGACTAATGAGAAGACCTGATACTTCATCTTACTAACACAGTCTTTCTTGCACTTGCAGGCAGCTTCAGCAGTTTTCCTAGACTGAACAGGCTAATTTTTCTTAGCTCCTCTCTTCGGTGTTATCTTTCACTGCTAGTGGTCTTCTGTGCATCTTTTTCCATTTTACTCACATCTCTTTAAAGCCACAGAGCTGTGCAATGAAAGCACATGTTTTCATGCAGACTGCTTAGGATACCTTGCTCTGTCCACGCTGTCCTTTCCAAGGTACCTTTTATTTATAACAACATCATGGTGCCGTCCTCTATTATAAAAAAAAAAAAAAAAGAAAAGAAAAATAGCAGATTGTCTTTTATTCAACCACGTCAGGTGTCCAAGCATCACTTGTGTGCTTGTCCAAGCATCACTTGTGCTTTTAGATATCTGGAGTGAGCTCTTTCTCTGCTTCTTTCTTATTAGCCCAGGCAGCACCACCGGGCTGCAGGGCGGAGATGACACACACAGACTTGGATCGGTTATGCTTCGGTTCCCGGGTCCTCTCTGCRTTCCTCACTGTGAGAAGAGAAAAACAGACCTGTATGAGAAATGCTCTCCTTTGGGGGTCAGCAGTAATGAAGAAATATTGAGAGCTATTGAGATGAATATTTGTTCACTGGGGATGAATTATCCCACTACAAAGATCACATTTCAGTTGTAAAACAGAAGACAAAGATCAGGGTTTGTCTGAAAGAAATAAATAGACAATTTTAACCCCACTTTTAAAGCTGGTTTAAGATAGTCACTATTAGGAACTGTGTGTTCTGCACTGCCAGGAAATGACAATATATATATATATATACATATATATATACAACATATTTCAAAATAAGGACTATCTTAAAACAGATTTTAAAGAAGCAGCTGTAGAATGCAGGTGTCCTAGCAGAGCAGACACAAGTTTGTGTTGTGTCGTTAAGTCTGGATACACACATGATGAGGACAGGAGGGCTGCAGCCTCCTCCAGCCCTCTTGCCAATGCATTTCATGGGGGCTGGGCTGTTCACATGTTCCCCAGGGCACAGTCTTGTGAGAGAGAATATTAAAATATCCCATTCCCAAACGGAGAGGAGGAGAGGGGCTGGTAGGAACCCACAGCAGCACCCACTGGGTTCCCCCTTACCGGTCAAGGAGCGGCACAGCTTTGGCTTTGGGCTGGAGTCCTCCTGTGCTGAGCAGGAGTCATCCTTCTGTGATTAAGAAAGAAAAGTACTTTAAGGCATTTACCAATTGCTAGCAAGTCTGTTAACGGCACTCACGGTTCACAACCAAGCCATTTGCAATCCCCGAGGACCCGGTTGCCATTTGGTTTATTTTTGCCAAGAAAAAAAAAAAAAAAAAAAAAGAATTACTTCTGAAAATAGACTAAATCCATGGCAGGGATTTTGGAGGGGAACTATTTACGGGTGCCAATTTGTTTTGAGTTGACCGCAGAGGTCTGCGCTCTACGAGAGCAACTGGAAAGCAGCAGAKCTGGTGCGAGGAGGACACAGCAGATGAGCACAGGGAAACAAAACCCCCGYGGAGGACAGGGCCATTTCTCACCTTGGCTGTTGATCGCCTTGGCTGCGGGCCAAGCAGGAAGGTAGCGAGCTTGCACTAACGAGCGCTCCGTCCTTTCACTTGMGCGCTAATCTCCATCCTTCAGAAAAACCCCGCTCGCACAATGCTGCCTGAATTGCTCCGTATTTCTGTAAGCTGGGAATAAGGCTCTCATGCAGCTGTGATTTGGCATCTAGGTCCGGGAACCCAGGCTGCCAAATAACTCTGGACACCTCCCAACCTGGTTTTCTGTTTTGTTTTGTTGCGTTTTTCCCCTCCCTTAACGAGGGACCCGATGCCCTCCGTTCATTGTGTGCAGGTTTATTGACTATTTTAATAACAATGGCTTGCAGGCTTGAGCAGCAGTAGCCCGGCTCCCTAGAAAGCCATTCCCAGGGGCATTTAATGATTCTCAGAGCATGCTCCATAAAAGGGCCCGACATAATTACTAAAGGCAGTATGTCATTTACGCACATGGCTTACAGGCAACTCCAAATAAGCTCCTTCTTGGGGAGCGCACTTGTGTTTTGGCAGAGCGAGGCAGTGCTAAGTTGCCTGGCTACAGGTGCACGGATTTTCTGGGTGCTTGGTAGTAAATAGAAGATATCCCAGGTCTCAAAAACCACAATGCCAGGATGCTTTGAGTTGGATCCTTTCCTAAAATAAGAGAGACTGAAAATAAACACRGTTTTGAGCCGGCATGATCCACAGCTACAGGAAGCAAGTAGCTTCCTGCAGGAATGTTGCCCACAGGCTGAGGAAGGTGAACTTTCTGCTGGAAATAGGGAGCCTTGGAGTTAATCCTCTGGGCTACAGTTCAGAGCAGGATTCACCTCTCGGCTTTGCCAGGATTTTTCCGTCTTGTGTAAATCATTTAATCTGTGCTTTTGACTCAAGAGGGATAAAGACTGCTACTTTCTTACTGCTCTGCTCTGCCTTCCCTACTCGGGCTGCAAATTCTCATTGGCAGGGGGTTTCTAACGCTGTGCACGATGCATCTCGCGCTCATCTCAACTCAAAACCTGCACCATCTAAACCTTGACAGCCACCCAGGCTCCGTAGGAAACTCAGGGTGATTTTTCCTGGCAGAAAACAGGCACCCATCCTGCTTTGGGTGCCTGTTCACTCCATTGACTATAGAGATAGCCAGATATCTGACCATCAGACCTGAGCACTGGGCCAGGCCCACTGAGGCTRGTGCATCCGCATGGCAAGACACACTTCCATACGTGCCTTATGCTTCTGTTGATGGATGCAGTGGGAAAAGACAAACTGGCACATAATAAACTATGGGATGAATCTCTCTGAGGTACCACGGCTTCAYGTTCTAATAGAAAAAGGTTAAACAGGTTCACAAAAAAAAAAATCCCTACATGCAGAGTCAGTGAACAGAAAAAGCTGCACTTTTCATGAGTCAAATGGATTTCACAGACATCTGCTCAGCTCACAACACACAACCTTCTTTTCTTCCAAACAGACTAAAGACAGAAGATGCCAAACGSGCATCACCAGCACTGCAGGGTGTACTGTGGCCCTCTGCTTAAAGTTTGTCTCCCAGGCCCTTGTTTTTCAGGTTGCTTTGCAAATATAATTGTAATGCTTCCATCTTGTGGTGAAATGCAGGATAGGAAAATGCCTAGAACAAGACTTTGTTTTTTTTTTCCCGTCTCAAAATCTACAAGGGCAAATTCTTCCCTTTAGAAGTAGGGAAAAATGGAGTATGTGAGTATTAGAAACCCTCCAACACAAACTAGTCATATCTTTYATGGCTACAAGTTAAAAATGGCCTTCATTTATCAGTGACCTAAAATTCTAAATCTCAGTGGTTTATCTTTATCAATATGAAACTGTAAATATTTGGCTACTTTTAATAAACTAAAAGCTACTTTTCTCCATGGTTTTCCTCGTCTTCTCTGAAGGAATTCTGATGTTGCAGCCTGCCCTTGTACAGGATGCAATAGTGGCTTTCTAGTGTCCTGCAACTTTGTGTTAATARCCTGAAGTTCTTTCCAAATGTTCTCCTATGATTTTCAGGTGTCACTTTATTTCTATTTGCAGCTCCTAAAACATTAACAGATAAAACATCAAACACGCAAAACGCATCTGACCTTTCCTTTTAGGAGAAGAGAGCTGTTTAGGAGGGGGGTTAGAATAACTTTTTAAGCTCTCAGTATCTACACTTGCTTTATTTAGACTGCAACAAAGGAAAGCAAGCTGCTGCAAAGGCATGTGATTAGCACTAACGAATGTCTCCTATGAGGCAGCAGTATTACGCATGAAATCAGCATTTCGCATAATACCTAACAGTGTTAGCTGGGTACTGCTGATAAGACGGGGCTGGGAAGGATGCTGCAGTGCTACCAACTACCCCGGGGAGGGGCGGCGAGCCCTGCAGGGCACTCGCTGGTAAATCTCAGCACAAAATCAGTGTCCGTGACYGGGTGTTAGGACAGCTACTCCCTTCAACAGCTTGAGAGACAGCTCTGCCAGTGTCAGTCAGTTTGCTGCCTGATCTGGGGTTTGTTGGGCAAATCCGACTGGTTTTGGTCTTCACAGAAAACTCACATGGATATTCTGTCCTCTGAGGGTTTGCAGAGTAACAGGAGTAATGGTATTCCCAAAGATGCTGCATTTGCTGCAGATGATACTCTATTATCTAATGGGAGCAGCTGGGGAAATCAAAGCAGGAGCTCAAGAGTTAACAATCAAACATCCGTACTCTGAGTATGTAACGCGCACAAAATCAGCACTAGTTTGATGTTTTTCTTTTGAAGTTTAATTATACCAAATGTTCTACAGGAACATGCCATGTTCTTTCCTATCTATTTTGAATTGTAAGTACCAATCAGCATGTAAATGATCAAATTAAATCTTTTAAGTTGTTTGCAAGATCCGGAACACCTTTCTGTGAATGAAGGACTAAGCAGCAGAGGCTTTTGGCACATTACTTCAGCTCTCGGTGGGCTCTTCAATGACTGGCATTTCAACAAAGAAATCAGAGTGGAATAAAGCCTGCAGCGGCGCTGAGCTCTTGTGCTGTCATGGAAAATTACTATCTAAATAAAGAAAAATAAATTATTTCTCTTAAAAAGGTCATTCTGTTCTCCTTAGTGATATACTCTTATACTATACATATTAGAGGCCACAGGGTGCATTTGGACAGTGCTTGAGCCTGCAAAAGCTCTGTCTCGGAGGAGTCGCTGGGCTTTCGGGATGTCCTCATCCCTGCTCCGCAGCTAAACGGCTACTGAACTTTGAGTCTGCGAGCAAAATGCCTGTGGCTTCACTGTGATTCCTCCAGAGTAAAGGTACAGAATGGGAAGAATCACAAAAGCCCATCGAGGCCATGCCTGATGCACCATTTCAGGGCCATTTGTCTTTCCACAGGGAGATTTTTGCCTAGCTTCTTTCACTGCTTTCCAAGGACACCAGCAGAAGACACCCGTTACCAGCCATAGACACTGCCTATGTGCCTCAGTGCGCGGTCAGAGTGAAGTATTTACCGAGTTCCTCTTTTAATTCAGAACATGAAACCACCATGGAATTCTGCCAGTAGCAAATTTGGGCTTAAAGTAGTTCTCTTAGGAATCTGATATGCAACACTTCCTTCTATTTTATTTTCTTCAAGTCTGCCCAGAAATGTAGCTCCTTTGAAAAACAAAAAACCCACCTCCAAAACAAATAAGAAAGCTCCACAGTAAGGCTTCTGTCCTTTCAAAAGATCTAGGGGGAAAGAAAAGGACAGTTTCAAATGTTTACAGTACATCTGGACTTGTGACAAYGGGCGTCCCAGATTCCATTCTTTTATGAAATCTCCCAGAAAAGAAAAACAGAYCTTTAAATCTACAAACCAAAGCTCAATTAATAACAATTGCTCAGTAAATATCTTTCCAAGTACGGATGGAGGCCTGGGCTCAGAAAGGACAGAAGAGTGCTGCCATGTCCAAGATGGGTCATTTGTTTGTCAGGAATTGCTTTTTTTTTTTTTCGCATTTTTTTTTGTCCTCAGTATTTCCTACTCATTTGAATGCAGTTTAGGGTTGAGAGATACTTTATAAAATAAATAAATAAATGAAAGTAACAGGATCTGCCTTTAAAGGGAAATTCTGCCAGCAACAAGCAGGGCTCCTGGCAGCGCTGGTTGCATCTGCTCGTGAGCTCCTCGCGAGGCCGACGCGGGGTGCATCGTGTGTCCCCGCGGTCCCAGGCACCTCCCGCCCTCACTGACCTCCTTGCTGGAGCCCACTGTGTCGTTCTCGCTCAGTTCCATGCGGAGGCTCCTGTGCCGCAGGATGAGGATCTCTTTGGCCTGCTCCGCGGGCTCCGTCTCCCCGGGAAGCGTGTGCCGGTTGTATGCGGGCACCTGCCACRGCAGGAGAGGGCTGTTGAAATCATCGTGTGTCTGAGCAGCACCAGCCAAGAGGCACCACCAGCCCTGGCAGTGCCAGGAAGCAAGGGCTGAAGCAGGGCAGGAAGGGAATCGTGGTTTCCCACCGACCAGGAGCCCGGCCAGAAGGGACTCGGCACAAGATGTTGCTGCTGCCACTTCTTCCATCCGGGACAGACCAACCGTGCTCCCCTCCCGGGGCAGCCTCCTCCACAATCCAGWCTTGATTCCCCATAAAGGACACCAGGACAACCTGCGTGTCACCCCTCTTTCCTCCTGTTCCACAGGTCTTCCGACTACCTGCACCTTCCAGGACCTTTTGGTCCCTCCTAACCACCCAGCCTAGCTACAGAAAGGAACTGATTTGCCTAACTAGTAGAGGTGAGACTGGAGGGAAAAGCTAAAGAAGTAAAATGGAGCTCCGTCAGCAGTGGCATCCCCTGAGCAGCAGCATATTCCCTGCTTCTTTGTGCAAGAATACCTACATGTATAAAAATTCAGTATCTTTGAATAATGAGTCTGAGATGCATCTGTACCAGCCGGGTGAAACACCATCCACATGCAGCTACTCTGGTCAAGGAGTCTTCAGCCAGAGCTGTCTCATACCCTCTGCCCAGTCCTCCAAGATTTTATATTAGCCTCACCTTAACATATAAATCATGTATTAGCATGAACAGGCATAAAAAAAAAAAAAAATGTGCTTCAAAAACCACAAACCAATCAAGTGCATAAAATCTTGCACTAATCTTGCACTAACATCAATGTGAGCTGGGATCAGCCCACTGCTAAATGGGGCTAGGCTGCATCTAGGCCAGAATAAGAGCAAATAGAAGGAAGACCTTCATCTTTTCCCCATACATTTCAATAGTTTTCCTCACAGCCTTGTCTGCTCACTTCTCTCAGCTCAGCAAAATGACAGATCCCTCTGTGGCAACATGTCCCTATCAGTCACATCCCCAAGGATTCGGTGTTTTGTGCTCAGCCCATAAAACAAAGGTTTAGATCAATTTTAAGGATAAGGCTCCATGTTATCACCATGCAAACAGCAATTACACAGCACCAAGGACTGCGCACTSTAAAACCTTAAACAGAGGGATTATTCCTGAGTTTGTCTATAAACAGCAAGTGTTTTAATGCATCACCAGATTTATCAGTTTCATAACAAAACTGCTGARTGACTTTAAAATCTCTGTAGATTAACTATAACTACAGTCTTCCCCATCCCTAGTCTCTGAGACTCTACTCTTTCTTCCAGGCTCTTCCTTTTATCTATAATTCCCATTCTTTCCTTATGGTGTTTATTCATTTCCTTGCTTTAAGACCCTTGTTCTGAGCACACTGACACTCGTTCTGAGCGTCCCTGCACTGAAAGCTCCCCTCTCCCTTCTGTYAGTGCTCTGCATTACATGGACTTTAATGTGCAGTCACATTAAAGAGTGGAAGGCTTTAGTGACCAGCACTAATCAAATCTTTGGCCTGCAGGTAACCAAAAGTTTTGAAACTGCTGCATCTCCTAATCTGATGCTGGTTCATCTCTGTATTCCTCACGTATTGCTTCTTGTGCTGRGTAGAGGTGTCTAAAATACTTCAAGAAATTACAGGCTGACTTGGTGAACATTTCAAAAGCTGTCATGTTACCAAGGGAAATGTGCCAGTGACTTGGAAACTGGATCCTYCTTCACACAGCCAACTGTTCCCTACTCGCACAGAGATCTTGTTGGCAAGCAGGTAAATATTCACCTCTGCTCAGGCTGCTGAAAAACTGGGACAACTTGTGCTACTGGACATCCTAAAAACAGGTGGAGGGAAAATAATCATACCGTTCTCCTTATTCGGAACAGGTTCCTGGCTAGTATTTCCTGTATGTTTTCGAGCACATCTGGATTCAGGATATCCTCTGGTTTTCCATCTGTTGTGACGCTCCTGTGGCTGTTGCTGCAAGGAGAAGCAGAATGCCTCGGTTGAGAAGATATACAGYGGCACAGCAGGCGCATCCCCAAAGCCCCGGGCGGTGTCAGGCGCGGGCGACGGCCAGCAGCGCTTTCAGAGGCCACCATCAGCAGGACAAGCTGGCATGACTGATGGCCAGTTCTTTCAGGCGGAGCTCCCCACACAAGGAGCGCTCGGGATTCGCACCAGAGCTGTGCTGTCCATGTGCTGCCTGGATAAAAGAGGTGCCGGGAGCCACGGGAGAGCAAAAACATTTCAGAGATGACAGGGCTGTTCTGCCGTGCTGATGTTCGACCCTRCTCTCTCAACCTCTGCTCATTTTCTGCATTGTTTCTTCCAGTAAAAGGTTCAAAGTAAAGGTTCAAAGCTATGAAAAGGCAGTGCAAGTGCTGCTTATTTAAAGTGCTGCTTACTTAAAGCAGTGTTTCAGTGTTGCTCTTGCTCAGAGCAATCAGGGGCACCTACAGGTACAAGAACAGCAGCTGTGCTATGGATGCCAGGGGGTTGCTTGTCCACCCGCTCATCCTCCAGCGGCGTTTACTTTGCACCCGCTCAGGCTGCTTTTCCTTCTTATGGAAGGACCAGGCAGGAAAGAGCAGAGGAGACAGGGATGTTTGCATGGTATTTTGTGTATGGGGTGCAACATGTTCCTAGGAGCCACTTTGCAGCCCTTCCACCTTGACTCCAGAGATAAGGAGGTGGGAAATTCACGGAGTCAATACAAATTGTTGTAAGACCTGTTTATCACCTGATAGAAACTGTGTACAAGGACAGGGCTTATGTAAAGATCATTCCTTTGCAGCTCTGAAAGTTAATGCTGCTTTCAGATTTATTTCTTACCTATTCTGTAGGAAGTTACATGGTTACATGGGAGACAAACTGAACATTTACTAAGGTTTCRAATGGTTCTAATACGAAGTTGATCATCCACTTACTGTGTGTCAAGTGATTAGGTACCACTTAAATCTTTCCAGAGAAATTTAAAAATAAATTATTTCTTGGAGAAAATGTTGCAGCTCTCAGTTGTGCCATTCTTTCCCCAAGGGCTAGGATATATTATAAGCTGGAGAAATCGTGTCCCTGGCTTTGGCAAGCAGGAACTCAGCCTCATTAAAGCTGTTTGACCTCTGCAGGTCCGTTCCAACCTTAAGCATTCTCTGATTCTCTGACCCACTATTTCTGCAAACAAGTGAGGCAGGGGGCACTTACAGCAGGGACAGGGGGGACGGCGTGTGGCCCAGCTGCCCGGCTTCGGCCAGCTCGATGGCATGCTTGCGCTCCAGCTTCTCGTAGAGCAGCACGATGCTGGATTTTGGCTGGTCATACTCCCGCAGCAGGAACTTCTGCAGGTACTTGCTGTTGAAATACTCTAGTCTGTTGGAGAAGAACACAAGACGCTTCGGTGCTGATGCTGCAAAGTTCTTTTGCTTGAATGTCACACAGCCTCGCGTCACATTCCCGGGAACCGAAATGGATCTGAGCCAGCCAGCAGGTTAACATTCCACAATGACCCCACACTTGGTTTTATTCTGTTACCTGCCTTCCAAAAACCAACAGCTAAAGAGGTTGGTATAGGCCCTTACCATTTCTGTGCCATAATACACGACCCGAGGTATTAAAACATCTGCAAATGTGATAAGAAGTCCTCAAAGTTTATCATGCACTTTACTAATTGCTGCAAGGAAATACCCTAGCCCAAAGGGAAGCCACACCATTTAGCTATTTAAGCAGCTTCCAGGTTTCTTTCTGATCCATTTCCTTTCGGGTTTGTTTTTTGCTCAAATTCAGCACAGTTCTTGCAATAAATAAATAAATAAATAAATAGATAGATAGATAGATAAATAAATGAATAAATAAATAAATAAATAAATAAATAAATAAATAAATAAATAAAGTTAGTGTCAAATACTGACCTGCAAGTTTGGCTCTTGCTAGCTGTACACCAAGTTACTCAGCCCATGACTGCATCGCAGAGCAGCCTGTGCTCAGAAAGCAGCGTTTTCAGTACCCTCTAGTGGTATTTTACAGAATTGACAGTCTTAAGCAAATCCCTGCTGCATTAGGCAGAATCCTTACTATGAATTTAGGTGAATCTGTGTTACATAGCCAAGTATAATTACCCGGTAGCTTGTCGGCAGTATTTTTTAAGCTCTTTGCCTTATTTTCCAAAGAGTAAAATTCCCCCGCATGTACCATGTACCAGAACTGAATGAAAAGGGAAAATTGCTGACCTGCAGGCCGGGAAGGAGAGAGTCTCCACTGAGATCAGAGCTAGAGCCTCGGCAGGCCGGGCTCGCCTTGCTGCCCAAGGGAAAGCCGCCCGCTCTTCGCCTGCTTTAGGGCCCAAGGATGGGTAAGGCTCAGCTCTCCACAGTGGAAACGTAGGGAACAGAAACCAGACTCATGCTTTTCTACACACGTACACAGCCGTATTTTTGGCAAATCCTTACTTGTCTTTCCAGTAATACTGTCCCCAGTGTCCAGATATATCTTCTATGCCAGCCAGCAAATGATCCAAGAACTAAACAGAAGAGAGGATTTTGCTATACACCAGTTGCACGCATTGCATACAYGATGAACGCAGCCATCAAAAGGCAGCAGACAAAACGTGGGCCATGTGCAGCTAGGTACACACCCCAGCAAACAAGGGCAGGGGCTGTCGGCCCCATTCCCTATTCAGTCTTACACGTGTTTTCCTTGGTTCTGCAGCACAAGAAGTGATTTGGCTGCTTTCTTTCAGGTCTGTGCAAGCAAGGAATAACCACTGAGGGGCACGGATCTGTGCKTTATGATATGTGCAGGTTGGCTGATGGTTTGCACGTCCTGCGTATTTGGGGCTTGGTGAGCAGGCATTGCTCACGCTGTGTGTTTTGAGGGCAGTTTGTCTCAGGAGAAAGCTATCTTCAGCAGATAGATGTAGATAACTTAGGAGAGGAGCTTCCACTGAATAATAACTACTGCATTCCCTCACACATTGCCCGCTGAATAAAATCATTGACCACATGGCATTTTATATAAAAATACTGTCATTGTTTAAAATTACACTAAAAATACCAAACATGCAGGCATGTTGGGCATGGAGGAGCTGCAGACTGGCTGCTGGCGTGTTGTGTACGCTTGATCTTCTCTGTGACTAAGAAAATCTGGAGGAAGCCCCAGAAAGTTCAGAGTTTGGGGGTCTACTAACCTAAGTAGACTACTAACCTAAGGAAGGTTAGTAGTCTACCAACTAAGACCACACTAACCTAAGAAAGGGCTTCCCAAGGTTATTTTGGAGGTGGGTTTCCCATTAGATCTCAGGCTGCAGGACACACATATCTCCCACCTGTGATTTTTGGTTTTGCCCTTTAGTTAGTAGTGGTGGAGGCAGAAGAGATCCCTCTACTAGAGGGTGATTAGTTTCAATCCCAAACACCTTATTCCCACCAATTTAATATATGAGGGGAAATAAGAGGACTAATACATTATTAAAAACCGATCTTATCAAAACCTTGCAGGAGAGGGTGTCTGCAAAGAACTTGTTTGTGATGCCTGTCCATGTTGCACGAGAATCAGACACTACAGATACGCGGCTGAGGCCAAGCCCAGCCTGTTCCCTGCATCCAAACAGGCTCCCGTCTCCCTTGCAAGCACTGGGATGCATCTCCCAGCCACAACAGGAACATAGGAATCAACACTGAATGTCATAAATATTGGGATGAAGAAGGAAATCCAAGGAAGAAGCTTCTTCYGGCTTCCTGAGTGGTTGCTAACTGTCGGCATTGTTACCTTGTCTACTTGACTTAATTGGTACATAGCACTTTTCAGCTCGCATTTCCCAATAAACACCTTTTCAGAGATGATTTAATATTCATACACTACAACAAAAGAAGAAAGTCTTCTCTGCTCGTTATTCAAAAAGCCTCTTCAGCCCATTGAACTGTTCTATTAACCCTAGACAAAGCTCTGTAATACAACCTAATTGTGAGGATGCCAAACATTTTTTTTAAATGTCYTCAGACCTAATGTCTATTTTTAGCTGCCCAAAAAGAAGGCAAAAATATTCTGGAAAAAGAAATACTTACAGAAATAGGACTGGTCATAAATAATTATATTCAGAAGCAGTATTTTTCAGTGTATCACCTCATTAAAACCCCCACGCTGTTGCATCCGACCAGCCTGCAAGGACCTAGGTTGAATGGTGCAAACTCTTCCTGATTTTTCCTTGGTGCATTGGCAGTGCTTGCAGGACATTCAATTAGCTCCCTTTCAGCAATTTAAAGTCTCATCTAGGTGTGAAAAATACCCTGCTTTCTCATGGAGTTGAATCATGCTCTGGAAGAGTCTTCTTTAACTACCAAGGCCACCTTTGGCTGGTGAGAGCAAGGTGAAATGAATTCAACCTGTAGGGTACAGTGCTTCCCTCCAGAATACAGTCTGCCTTGTCCTCCCCACCTCCCTTATTTCTAAATGTTTGCAAAAATAATACAAGCAGAGGGGGGTGACTGATAAAGAGGTGTCTGATCTGCCTCCAACCACTCAGACTTTTTAAGCATAGCTTGCTTTCTCTTTAATACAGCACCTTCTTCATTTGCAAAATGCCCTGGGACAGTTACTAGCTTATGCAAAGATCTCTCTTTTTCTTTTTCAGTGTCACAGGAAGGTTCTGAAGCAGACTGAATATTTGCCCTGCACCTAAAAGGATTTGTGTTTGATCGCTGGGCAGGGTGGTGCTGCACGGTCAAAAAAGCCTCTCTAGAAGCTCTAATCCCTCAACCTACTGCAGTTCAGAGACTGTCACTATTATGCCATGTCCCACCCAACAAAACTGGAACACATTTTGTTTTCCAATCAAAAAAGAAGCTATTTAGATCACCATAGCGATAGCCAATACTTATTTTCAGATTGAAAATTAATTTGCTGTAGATTTCTGCATTATAATAGAGATGCCTGACACACACGTGATAATTTTTTGCAATTTGAAGCTAAAACAAAACTTCACTTCCACTTTCATGTAGATGTTTAACAGCCTCCCTTGCAGTGGGGCCCTTCAAGTTATTCTTTGCCTCTCAGGCCATTCGTGCAGCATTTGAACTGCAGAACAGGCCATGGGGAGACCATTATTTATCAGCCAGATGGTGGTGGGACAGCGCTCTTGTTCAGGCAGTGTCTGTGCAGGTGGTAAAGTGGGCATCTCAGCCTTACGGTCTGTGTTGATCTATTTGGGCTGAACTTGCCCCACGAGAGAGGCTGGACATAAAAAGACCCCTGCAGAGCAGCCCTCCCATGTGTCAGAGGTGTCTTTATTCCTAAAGAGAGAAATATGATGCTCAAATTAAGCAAGAGGATTTTCGCTGGCTGCAGCAGTCCTTAGAGTTTTGCCATGGAAATGCAGAGATGTGATCCAGACATCTGAACACACAAATACTGCAGCTAAGCTGCCCTCACAGCTCCTCAGTTGGCCATTTGGTTGCTCATTTCTGCTTCGGCCCATTTTGTGCTACAAGATTCCTGAATGCTGCTCAAATCTCCTGAATGCTGCTCAAATCTCAGCTTCATTCTTGTTAAATACTGATCATAAATTCAACTAACCCTGTCCCAAAATGAGTTAGCAATTAGTGAACAACTATCACATGGAAGATCCCAACCCCAGTCTCATTTTCCTTCTTTCACCCTTTTCAGAGCAAAGCTGGGGTTAGGTTAGAGTATAAACTTTTGTATGAACCATCACTTTTTTCTGCTTTATTTATACAACACCTAATGCAATGCCAGTCTGACAAGGGTAGTATCAGGTGCTATTCCAATACAAAAATTCAAAATAAACTCTGTAGGACCTGGAAAGAGACTGACGTGCAGAGAATTCAGATCAAATCCACCCAAGTCTGCGAGCAGCAGAGGCCCTCGGGCACACGGTGCCCCAGGAGCTCCGCAGGCTGCGGGCACAGCCCGGTGCCAAGCCCTGGCCACGCACTGATGGGCCAGTCACTTACCCGAATATGAATCTGCTCTCCCACGGTGGGCGCGCTCTCTCTCTTCTTCTTAACATCGAGCAAGTCAACGAGAGGGCGGATGGTCATTCCCTGCAGCACAAACACAGAAATCAGGCGTCCTTCACATCAGGTCTGGCATCATGTGGGCACTTGCACTGAGCTTTTTGGGGCAAAATAAGCAGCATGGATACAAACACCAGCTACTCCAGGCTCTGCAGCAAGAACAGTGACTTCTCTGGCAGAACAAAGTCTGCTTTTTTAGGTAGAATCTCTCTTCAGATCTTTTTATTAGGAAGAAAGTATCTGTGAAGCTTTGACAACTCCGCAAATTCTACTCACTCAACTGTAATCCAAACACTTTGCTCCTGGAGAGCTATGGTAACAGTTTGCCAGGAGGAAAACACATCTGCACAGCTTTTAATATCAGAGTAGGCAGAGGGGGGGAATGTTAAGCTCTCCTAATCCGGCCTCTAATATCTCGAAGACCACAAAAATGCAACCAAACATTTCAAGATCAAGTCTGCGAGTAGTTATTGCTCCAGCCTCCCAGATGCAGAGAGGCCTGAAATGTGCCTGAGGACTTCACAACACYCAACCACCACCCACACTGAAGCGAGCAATGCATTTACCAACTTCTTGGGCATTATGTGTCACAGATTGTCTCTCTAAAGGTCTTCAGCAAGCAGCTAGGTTTACTAGGCAGAGAGTCCTCCTGATGGGAAGGGCCGAGGGAAGAATTCTACTGTCCTCTAAGCCTCACGATGGAACTGCAGAACGCTGCTCTAGTACACTCTTAGTCTTGCTTCTGTATGAAATGATTTTTCTAGGGCATGTTTACAGCAAAAATGATTGAGGTTGATGATTATGATTTCTGAATGTCAAAAGTGTTGGCACAGTGGATAGCTGAATACATTTTTAATTGCAAAAACAATTAATGTGTCATTTTAATTGCTAATAACAATAAAAATGCATCATTATTCAGAATAAACAACATCAATCTAACAAATTTAGAAATAGTAGATATTACAAAAATGAAGTAGAACCAGTGCAGTTTGGTCTCTTGTCCTGACTAGATATCAGCTGTGTTTGTTTTCAGTCTAAAGTGTCATTCTAGATATTTTTTTGATGAGGATTCTCAGATTTACAGACGCCCACACACCTCAGTTTCTTTGTCCCTTCGTCACCTCAGGAATGYCATGGGAATCGCACGCAGCATTTGCAGACCAGCAGAGCGCTGCACACCTGCAGATCTCCTCCAGCTTCAAGAGGGTTCCTTACCCGTGAGGCACCACTTGCCAGCAGGATGTCACACAGCACTAGTGACTGTGCCAAGGCTTGCACAAAGCTTTCCTACTGGTAATTCAGTAGCTAATGGGTACGTGTGGGCACCACGCACAAATCTCTCACAACAATTACATTTCTTAACAATTTCAAAGAGGTCAGAGGCCGCTAGTTTGAAAGAGTGAACCTTAAATGGAGAACATGGTATTTAATTTTTAAACCACACTGAAAGAAGGAACAATGAGGCCCATTTGTGACATTCCAGACAAGCCCACAGCTCTTTTGAGGACTTTCTGCTCTGAGTGGCATCTATCCAGGCCTGTCTGGAACCACTTGACAATTGCTCCGTCAACCTCCTCAAAATTATTAACCAGGCCTGCCCTGGGAAGAGACTTACACAACTGCTTTAGATAGACCAAAATAGCCAGGTTTCCTGGGTTATATAACACACTGATAGATCCTGTATGGCCAAGCCTACCTGCCTACATTTGAGGTCTTCAGCCTGTATAACACAAAKCTTTTCAGATAACATTGTCAGGAGAGCCAAGAAAATGAAGTGGATTTACACTGTCTGAGGTGGCCCCGCTGGCCATGCACCAGTGCACAGGGGCCCAGATGATCCCTCCCACACTTTCTCTCCAGGTTTAACACAGAAAAGCTCTCTCCAAGTCAGTATTAATGCCACTGTGAATATAAAGAAAACTTGTCCAGAATAACAAAGCAAACCAAACGCAGCCCACTAACCAAAGAAGTTGCTTTGTCGCCAGTATTTCCACTTGTTCTTTCCACCCAAAGAGAAAAGCGACATCAAGGGCACCTGGATATTAAAGAYTCACTCCTCAATCCTGCATCCACTGACGTGGCTGGTAGCAGTGCCATTCACTTCCGAAGCTGCTCAGRCTGATTTAAAAAACCCAAATTCCTACAAGTTTCCCTTAATATCTGCACATATCATTTTTACTAATTTTTTAATGCAGAAAGCTCCTTTTCTGATGCAGCTTTTAAGCAAGTTGACATATTTTTATCCTTGTGGTGGTCCGGGCTACACAATGCTGCAGGTATCTGGAATCCGAGCGCAGGCTGCCTTTACAGAGGCTGTGTCGCTAGTGAATGGCCGCGGGTCACGGGGTCGGCCCGTTGACACGTACCCATGGGGGATGCTCTTTAACTCTCACCCTTCAGCATGGAGATGACATCACCAGTGGAGCTTTGAGGTTACACAAAAGCCCTTTCCCAGTCCTGGGAAGGATTTTCCGAAGCTTCCGCAGAATGGAGCTGCTGCCTTAGAACAACCTTTGTCTGGGACTCAAGAGCGGCTCTGCATGAACGGACGTGCCTAGTGACCGTATCTTTTCAATTTCTGACCCACATTTGCATCTTAAAACTTGTCAGCCTCCACCTAACTACGCTCTCCCTACCCCCTGGCCCCTGCTCAYGTCTTTCAGTCTGCAACAAGAGACCTGCAAACTGCCCTGTCCAGCTGCCCTATGCCGCTCGGCTCTTGGCACATCACCCTCAATATTGATTTTTGCAGCTAATAACTTGGATTAGGAGGATGTGGAGAAGTTCCGCTGCATAGAGTCAGTCCCAGAATAAATCTCTGCTCCCTCCGCATGGCCTGAGTCACAACCGATAGACCACAGGGTTCAACGGAGGCCAAGTGGAAGGAATTCGTTGTCGCAGGGTGTCGCTCAGCCATGAGGCCACTTTGCAGCTGTCACCGTGACCTCAAGTCTTCTGAAGCCCCAACAGCTGCTTCATACCTTCTGTCTGATGGCAGGAGAGCGGGCTGAGGGGTGCGAGGAGGAGGAGGGCAGGCCCTGGGTCAATGAATCTGCATGGACCTTGTGCACTTGAGTGAAGGAAGCTCCCATGGAGCTTTTCTAAATGCCATTATTCCATACACACCACCCACTCGCTCGCTTCATCTCCCGTGGTGACCTGCTTAGTCCGCTCCGTCTGCGTTGCAGGAGGGGAGAGGATCAGTCACCATTTTGTACCTCCCATAATCACTCAGTCTGAAGGAAAAAAAAAATGACCTAACTGCATGATTTTGAGGACGTCTTGCTCTTTTCTGGGTCAGATGACTGTCATCTTTAATCCAACCCTCATTTGAACCTGGCCCTGGCAGAATTTGGGAGGTGAAATAAAGCACCGGAGCAGCTCTGGAAGGGGCGCTGCCATTACAGCCTCGCTGCTGCTTTGGGTGCAGGGTTAGCAAGGCAGGCAACAGCAGAGAAACGGATCTAAAACCTCTAGCTCGTGGAAATGCCCAGGAAGGTTTTTACCACTAGATGTCACGGCAATGCTGAGAGCTGCGTCTGGGCTCTGCGCACTTCCCAGTGAACAGCACCGGCGGGTTCGGGGGGGGTTTCTTGTGACAAAATAATTCCTTCAAATCTCAGGCTGTTCCTAAAGGAGAGAAAACCTTCCACTTCCACAGAGCTGGAGGCAGCTTAATTAAGAATCAGTTATAAATAAAAGTAAGCTATTAGTAATGAGAATGCTACCAGTGAAACAACTGGAATTTATTCACAAGAAAACTCCAAGATGGAAAAACTTTGAAGGTAACTTATGCAAACTTCCTGTTGGGGCCCATTTTAGCAAAACTGACATTTATTCCTGTTGAGAGTTCCAGGATTCTCCCGCCAGACTGAAGCTAAACCTGCTGCTTTATCAATAGAAAGAGCAATAGGACAGGTACAAGCTTCAGTTCACTGCAAGCCCATGGCCAATGTCCCATTAAAACAAAACAAAACAGGATAAAAGTTGATTTTGAACCTTGTTTTGCCCTGTTTATGGTATCTCTTGTCTTTTAGGAGAAGGGACAGTACAGCCTGGGTCCCTTTGCACAATGAAGTGTGGGCAGGATTCAGRAACAGCATCTCCCAGATGCTCCCCAAGAGCAGGTGAAGCTGCACATGGTCCCATGGCATCGTCACTGGACTGAGCTCTGCAAAAATACCCGCCGTAGAAAGAAAAAAAAAAAAATTCCCTCTCCCTACCCTGGCAGTGGGGAGCAGGTCCAAGGTTATGCCATGACAGAGGGAGGCTGCACTCACTTGCAGAAGTTTTTGCACGAGGTGGTAAACAGATCAACGTTCACTGGGGCAGAAAGTAAAAGCAGGAAGCAACAGGCCTTAATGAATTAGTTGTAAAAGAAAATTCAGAGGCAAATAAACAATAAATAACATAGGCTAAGATTACATTTGCTTCTGATTTTGCTCACTTTTATAACGATTAACACACCCCTTTTTTTTTCCCCCCCACTGGAAGAGTTAAAGTTATCCCCTTCCTTCTGAGTCATCACGAAACAGCTACAGCTGCTTTGCTGCACGAGCATGAGAACATCTCAGAYATATATACAAAACATTTTCATAAGCAGCTAGTGATTACGGTTGCTTCAGCTGCTGGATGAAAATGGGACTCACAGGAGGAGACTCAAAATTAGACCCCTTAAACTGTCCCTCTCCGAAATGCCATATCTGAGATGACAAAAACCACAAGCCACTCTTAAAATGCTCGCTGTCCATGTTCAGACTCTTAACATCTTCCAGCTTCTCCCCTTTGGAACTGTGAAGCCTGACCTTCCCAGCCTGGCTCAGGCAGGGTTTTACTTTATAACTCATTTCACAAGGCCTGCAATAACAGGGGGCTCTATATGTCTATATGTCAAGCTCTATCTGTAGAGTTCAGAGTTTACAAAACATGTACAGGTATCGCTTCAGAGTGGAAATCTAGGCCAGCATCGTTTTGCAAATTTTTACCATTTCTATCCCAACAAGGTTGGGCCAGATGAAAGATGGGACTTGTTATCAAGGAAAACACTACAGTAGATGTTACAAACCAATAACTATTAAATCAACATCACATCACAGTCATTCCCTACATCTGCTGGTGACATTTTCATACTGAGAGTATTTTTTACCTGAACAAACACAGTGAAGAGGATGACAACAGTTGTTGCTGCGATRAAGAGCTTCTTTCTATGAAAGTCAGGAAGCAAGAAAACCAAGGAGAAACAGATTGCACCTCGGAGACCCCCATATGCTATAATGAATTGGTCTTTGCCAGTCACGGTGTTGACATGAAATCTGTTCACAAAGAAAGTCAGAACAAGAACCCCTGAAAAGCAGGAAAGAAGATGGAAACTGATTAAAATATAAATTAGATAAAACTCTTTAAAGAATGATGTATTTACAATAAAAATATATTGTGAGACAACAAACAGTTGTTGCACAACTATAAAATTTGAAGTAACTCATCTTGCAGCAACTTCTCTTGGCTTTTTTTTTTTTTTGGCCTTGTGCCCATCATAGCCCTGTTATGAAACTGGAGCTGCCTTTAAAACAGCTCTGAACTCTACAAAGGGTTTTAGTATTAATCCTCTCCCATGACCAAGAGTCCCCAGAAAATAGAGCTTGCCTTTGAGTAAGTGCTAAGCAGCTCAACATTGAACCATCAATAACTATTGGCAGCATAAGACAAATTAGCACATAGATTTCAATATTAGTTAATTAAAAGTCTTTAGGGCAACTCTTATGGTCATGTGCCAACCCAAGCATTGCATTGACTAGTGTAATGATATAGTTAAAGATTCTGAGGATGGAATTGAAATATTAATTGATTTATTCTAAACAGTGAAGGATTGGGTTGGTTAATTACAAATACTGTCTTGAGACAAACCATCAATAATAATTTAGTTATGTTCCCATTTTGAAGTTTCCAAGCAATAGCCAAGACACTTGATAAATATTCTACCTGCATGAATATTGCCTCTACAGGAATTTTTCACTCATCAAGTGTTATACTGTGCAAATTTTAGACTATATAAGATGATACAGCAACTGATGTTGTTTATAATCTTTGCAAACACATAAACATATGAATAAAGCTAAAGAAAGTCAAAGAGGGAGCTAGTGATGTGACAATACCCATTTGTCAGACATCTGCTTATATAACTAACACTTGGCCGTTTGCTTCAGAGCTCCCTAGAACCTGTTTTAATGAGAATTTACCTGAATGGAGTCAAAGGACACTGTGCAAGGGAGATGAAATTTGTAAGTGGTATCTGATCTTAATATCAACTGATATGATAAACATTTCACTTTCTGAAGATTCATGGTCATTTTGAGAGCTGAGAACACAGATTGTCATTGACTTTTGCTATGAATTAGTTCAACCTACATCATTATTGATTTTCTAAAGAGTGTTTGTTTGTAAAGGGTCATTGAAGAAATAAATTTCAAAAGAATATCACATAGGTAATATACATATCAGACACCTTCCCACATAGTAAAACTAAAAATAACCAAACTTCAATCATACAGGAGATCAGTTTAAAGAATATAAAAAATCTGTGGATGCTCAAAAATAGTGAACTCAATTAACTGAACCTGGCAATACTTCCCAGTCCTTGGAATACTGTGGAACTGTTGCCAAGGAGAACAGATGTTGTGAAATAGTTCAGTTTCAGGGTTCTTGGTAACTTAGCTCAAACAAATGCTGTGTAGTAACATAATCCATGGAGAAACAGGAGCCAAATGGAACCACCACATCACACCCAAATATTCTAACGAGGAAGGAAAGGCTGGTAACAGGTAGGTTTCCTAGACCTAACCACGTGCCTCAAATCAGAGCTTCAGCTCTTGCAAGTGCAGGCAGCGCCGCTGATGCAATGGGGAAAAATATCTACTTGAGTKGATACCCTGGCCTTTGTCTTAACTGAATCCTTCTTCATAAATTATTTGCATTCCCTACACTAATTCAATGAGAATTTACCCCTGAGCATTTTTTACCCCTGATCTGTGATCCGTTGCTGGCAAGAATAATCTGCAAATCCTCACAGGGGAKAAAAGGAGCCAGTGTCAGCTATGAAGCATCACCCCCCTTTACCCACAAAATGTGAAATCTAAGCTCTAGTCCACACCAAGAGGTTCTGGACTACAACCAACAAAGGGCTAAGGTGCAACTTAGGCACTAAAACCAGAACCTGCAGCCAGAARGTCCTCCAGGTTGGAGGAAAGCTCCATGGATGTCACATTTCTGGAGGTGGCTGTGAGCACGTTGGGTTCCAGCGTGGCCAGGACTGAGCAGGTCGGTGCCCGGGCCCCTCCACCACCACCTCGGCCATGGGGACACCCAGCCCATCCTGACGGCCTTTCACAGAAGTTTGATAAGAGGCTCGGTAGATGAGGGAAGCCCTACACTGGAGATGATTTGCAGCCCTGGTTTATGAGCCCTACTCATTTTGAGCGTACAGAATGTTTTCTTCCCTGGCTGTAGCCCTYGTGAGCCCTTCTCAGACAAGGTGCTGTGCAATTAGAGAACGTGCACAGAATAGCAATGTTTAGAGAGCTGGAGGATTTTGCTAAGTGCTTTTCTAACGTTAACATTAAYGTTCCTTACCTCTTGCAATACAGAGGTTTCAAACTAAGAGAGTCAAAAATAACTCAAAACTTTGCTTTTTACGCAAATGTTTTACCATTAAGCATATTTTTTCCTCTGGTAATAAACCACTTGTATGTATGCACAGCTGACTAATAAGCGTGCTTCCAAGTGCATTTATGGTACACAGTCATTAAAACAAATCCTGGCATGTATTAACAGCTAATAAAACACATTCTGCTGCATCTTGTTTATCATGGTCTATCCTATTTAAGCAATTGCTTGAGATGCCTATCAAATTTGAGTTCAAGTAAATTATCACTTGGTTTGACGTGGTGGCTTGTAAACATAAATCCCTTTGAATGTGTTTTTCTGTCAGATTCCTTGCCAAAATGTATGCTCTGTTTTATCTGTGGATATATAGTTGATTTATAAAAATATCAATAAATGAGAAGAATAGCAAAGGAAGAACATAGCAAAATAGTACATTATGGAGTTCAGCTCTCTCAGCTTGTCCTTTGATAAAATCTTTATAAATGATTAAACACAGTATTAACTTCAGTGAACTGAGTCACTCTTCACTCACRGGCATCACTAACTGCACCTGGCGAATGGCAAATCAGCCTTGTGAACACCAAATCAATGTGAGATACAGATTCACAGAAGGGTTGAGGTTGGAAGGAACCCCTAGGGATCACCGAGTCCAACCCCCTGCTCCAACAGGGACACCGAGAGTACCCGGTCGTATCCACATGGGTTTGGGAGATCTCCAGAGTGGGAACCTCCACAGCCTCCCTGTGCAGCCTGTTCCAGGGCTCCGTCACCCTCACAGCAAAGAAGTTYCTCCTCACATGGAGATGGAACTGCCTGTGTGTCAACTTGTACCCATTGCCCCTTGTCCTRTCATGGGCCACCACCGAGAAGAGTTTGGCCCCTCCCTACATTCTCCCCTCAGGTACTTAGACATAGTGATCAGATCCCCTCTAAGTCTTCTCCAGGCTAAACAGGCCCCACTCGCCTAAGTCTCTCCTCGTACGACAGATATTCCAGTCCCTTCATCATTGTTGCTCTGCGTTGGACCCTCTCRAGAAGCTCCACGTCCCTCTYGTCCTGGGGAGCCCAGAGCTGCCCCCAATGCTCCAAGTGCAGYCTCACAGGAGCGGAGCAGAGGGGCAGGATCCCCTCCCTTGACCTGCTGGCAACGTCCTCCTGATGTGGCCAGGAGCCCATTGGCCTCCTTGGCCAGGAGGTCACTGCTGCCTCATGGTTGATTTGGTGTCAATCAGGACTCCCAGATCAACAACCAGAGACAAAAGGAAARTAGTGCATCTGTTTTTCTGGAAGCCTAGAATACTGTGGGACCTGGAGTGATATTTTCATAGTGAATTATATCAAGACGACAGCCCCCTTGCTCTTCAAGATCAAATACCAGTTTATCTCATCAAATATGAAAATGCAGGAAGACTATCACATTTTCCATGCCAAGAGAGGAAAAAATGAGACATAAGATAAGAAAACAGAAGGAATTATCTCATTAATCAGAAACCAGAAATAAAAGTCATATTCTGAATTGCAGAATGTCAGTACTCTTCAAAGCCCCCCTGCTCCCAGCCATTCTCTCACTTAATGAAATTATGTGTTTCATTTGCAGAAATAAAAATCCATTTTTCACCATACCTAGTGCTCTCCAAATGAGACAGAAAATGACAGTGAAGAAAATATATGGCCAGTTCCACTCATGGTTTTCTCCAATGGTGGAAACCCCGAGGAAGATGAAGATGAGCGTATCACTGACACTGCTCCACATCTTCATGAAGTACTTGATTGTGGTGTGGGATTTCAGAGAGATGTTGGCCTCCACATACCGTTTCATGCCCATAGCACAAGCAATGATGCTGTGAAAATGAAAATGAAACAATTAGTTTTTCCACACAGGCACACAAAATTGACAGTCCTTAGGAAAAAAATGCCTATTCCTGTGTAAATTACAGTGTCACTACACTCAGTACATCTTACTTCCTCATGTATATCCAAGGTCACTTCAGAACAGTGTTACACCAATTAAAACTTCTGCCTTGTAATTTCTCATGGATAATTGGTTCTTCAAGTTACAGGACACGTGGCTAACCTGCCTCATCAGCCTTTCAAATCAATACTCTTTCAGTCTAGCAACCTCAGAAGGTCAAAACCATTTAGTACTCAGTGTCGAAGCTCCGTTTTTCAACACAATATGTTGCTCTAAACATCAAACCACCACGGACAAAAGGAACTGGTTTCTGAGAGCTGATTTCCAGTGCAGTTTGGCACATATTGCTCTTCCAYGAAAGGCCTGGCTTCCTTCTAATGTAGAACATTGCAAATCCAGCCAAACCCACTGAATTCTCTAGCATAAAACCAGTGTAGAACTGGTGGGACAACATATTTCTTCAATACCTCCTATAAGGAAAACCTATGCCAAGCCTGGATAACTTGACAAAATTTGGGGCTCAGGATGTGTAAAAGCTTGGATATGTTTTCACTTCTGCTTCAAAACAGCAGGAATCAGCCAGGAAACTTGAGGCAGGAAAGGAAGATCATACCTGTCCCTCCATTTTCACTATCAAAGTGCAGGGCAGAATTCAAGCTCAAGTGCAGAGGGAAATAAAAAAACTTCCATGAGAAAAGTTTCATCAGCTGTTCTAGTTACAGGACCAAAGTTACATTTTTTTTGACCAATATTGTTGTTAGATCAAAACTTTTCTAGATCAAATTGATTGCAGGCAAAATTCACAAGCTGAACACAAATATCTCTTAAAAAGAAGGCTCTGAGCCATAATTATTCATCTTGTTGAAATGTCTGYCTGTCTGGTTACTGTCCTGACTGATATTTTCAGCAAATATAGCCAGAACGCTTTCCTTGGCAATGAGGTTCATGGACGTACTTACGCCACAATGCCAGAAAGGTGAAACATTTCTGCTGTGAGATAGGAGAGATAACTGTACAGGAAGACAAAGAGCGGTTCAATGACACGGATAGTCTTGGTAAAGCGCGTGGTAAAGGCAGAAATCATCCCAAAAGCCAGACCAACTAAAATGCCTCCTATGCCAACCACAAAGAATTTCCCAACTCCAGCCAAAACATCCATAGTTTTGATGGCTGGCATTTCACAGAAAGACCTAAACAGCTTGTAGAGTACCTGGATGAGAAATGAGAGAGAGAGAGAGAGAGGAACAAGAGCCATTAACCAGGCATTCCCACACACAGCAGTAACATTAAAATACGTTGCTGACATTTCTGTGAGTTCAGAAGTCTCTATTCTTCCCTGGAGAGCAGGTGCCTAACAAGTGGGTGCTGTAGCACTCAAATAACACTTTTATCTCCAGACTTATGTGCCAGATCCTCAGATCTATGGCAAGGGAAGACAGTTGTTCACCCAGATGTTTTTCAGAGCTGGAGGGCAGACACCTGGGCAAGGAGTCCTCYCCCAGAAGAGGCCCTTTCCCTCTGCAGAGCCCAGGTCCCACCTCTCAACAYAAGACAATCCTTCCTTGGACATTAAATACTGAAAATAAAAGCTAGTCCTTACCACAGTCACTGCATCATTCAGCAGCGATTCACCAAAGACCAAAATGTGCAGCTTTTCATTGACATGTATCTCTTCAAACACAGCTAACACTGCTACAGGATCCACAGCAGCTATGAGACTGCCAAACAAGAGGTTATGGAGCAACGACACGTCCTGCAGCTGAAAAGATTTCACTTGGCAGATCCCATACAGTGAAAAGCCGATCCCAAACACGTTCCATATCGTTCCCACAACAGCATACAGGAGAATAGTGCCAATATTCTCAAAAAAGGGACGGCTGGGCATGAAATATCCTGCATCAAGGACGATAGGTGGCAACAGGTAGAGGAAAAAGATATCACTGTCCATAACCGGTGGGGATTTGTCATTTAAGCCATAGATGATTCCACCCATAATGAGTCCTACAAATACCAATAAACAGCTTTCCGGAACAACAGAAGGCAGCTTGTTATAGAGATGAAACCCTGAAAAGAGATCAAGAGAAATATTCCTTATTATCTCATCAGCCAAACCTAAACATCTCCAGGTCCTTATTTGGATGAGGAAACATTTCATGCTATGATATTCAGAAAGTTGCCTTTTGGCTTATAAGTGATAATACAGTAATAATAATAAATTATTAGTAGTACATAAACATACATTCACAGACCTTAAGTCTCAGAGAAAAATTCCCCCAAAGATATTTCTCTTTYGCTTGCATGCCAGACAGCTTTGAACTCTAAAGACAAAACCTTTCTTTGGTTCCCTTAGTAGAGAGTATTTCAGGAAAGGGCTCCCCTTCCCAGCCCCATTCCTTTCCACAGTGTTTGGATTTCTGGAGAACAAGCGAAACAGGAGCTGCTTTTCCCTATGGGGAACTGCTGAGGCAAAGGCTGCCCTTGCCCTCCTTGACCCCATGGAGAACCTTGTCCTCACCACCCTCTCCAGATTTTGTGCCTTACCTATTTTGGCCAAAGACGCAAGCATGATCCAGAGCGTGATTTCAAAGGGGACTTGGACATGCTGGTAATCCACGGAGAAAAACGCATGCTCCAAGGATTCGTTCCCCTGGCCTTCCTCMGCATCCCAGCTGGTGTTCTCGGGAAGAGCATCTTCCTCCAGCACCTGGGAGCCTGACAGGTCTCCAGCACTGGCGGCCTGGAGGAAGAGYGCGAGCAAGGGCCCGACGAGGCAGCCCGGGCTCTGCCTCCCCATCCCGGGCACTCTCCGCTCGGGAATGTCGCTGGTTGCTCCCCGACCCGCGACTCCTGCTGCTGCGCACGGCAGCGGAAGCGTTGCTGCCTGCAGCACCCGCTGAGCTGCTGCAAAGACTGGAGCAACCGCTCAGCCTCGCAGGGACTCTCCTCCCCAGCCCATTAGTTTCCAGCTGGGAAACCCTCCTGGAAAGTCTCACCSTTTCGGTATGAAGTGCCCAAACAAGAGGCTTCTCTTCAGGGGCTTCCTTGAGGAAATGTCTCGTGCAGCTGTGGTCAGATACCCCACCTGGAAGAAAAATAAACCTGCTTCTGCTCTGGTCCCACATCAAACAGCTCCATCCAGAGCTTGGTCAGCGTAACCCTGTCCCTAAGGAGAGAGCACATGGCAGCAATGTTACTGATAGTCACATCTGCCACTTGGAAATCAAGCAAAGCAACCAGCTTGCTTGTGCTAAGTGCAAAACCACAGTGCTGGGCTGCAGGAAGGTCTCGTGCTGGAACAATRCATTTCAATAGCTGTTTAAAGCTCCTGTCTGCACTGAGAGCTGTCAGGAATAACTGAATCTCTCCTTTCTTCACTGCTCAAAAAGAGCCCCCAAAAGTCAAGAGAACTTGCTTGCAAAAGTCTGACAGAGAGGCAAAATGCACAGCAAGACAGGTAACAGCAAATCTGTAAGATACCTCTGACTAGGAAGAGCTTCTGATTATGTCACAGGATGCAAAACTTTTTGGCCTTAAGGATTCTTTAAAGTCTCTAAATACCACCTTTTACATAAAACTGAATTTTAAATGAGAAATTCCTCTATTATTGAGTTTTATTTGGGTTAGTGATGCTTCACCAGGGATGAATTCAGGCCAAAAGAACATTGTAATTAAAATACAGAGGCCCCAGGCTGCTGTAGACTAATCAATGGCCTATTTTTTCTCTTCAGCTGGCTAAATGACACCAAACTTGGGCTGCCAATAACATGCTGGTGGCCCATTTTTCTCCTATAAAGTCACGACCAACATATCCTGCATTTGTCAACATCAGACAAACTCCCTGTTTCTGGGCTGACTTGTAAAGCAGGAGGACAAAAATCCCTCGAGGATGGGAGAGATGCAGGGATACGTTCTCAGGGCGATTTCTTGGTACTTCACCACAGTTAACTTGACTTTATAAAATGCCTTTACCAGACTTGCTTACTTTAAAACACAGAAACATTCTCCAATTAAAACTGTCTTCTAGMCAACTAAGATTCTGTTTTCTATAATTCAATCCATAGAGTTGGTCATGGGGAAAGGGGAGGTACCAGGTCCCTTGTTACTCTGAAAGAATGATATTTAGGTGAATATCTACTGTCCCTTCAGCAGGGAGCAGAAAGCTTCTCAGGAGGGGTTTGTGAAGGGGTGTGAGCAGAAGCTGTGCAGTGAGAAGGACACTGAGACAGCAGTTTTAGGAAACATGTTAAAATTCTGGGTTCGGTGGAATTTCTTCATCAGTGAATCTGTTCCTCTTGTGCTCTACTCCTTCCTGTGACGATGGCTGCAACCCTGCATCAAGCTCCATGCTGGCGGAACAATGGATTCATATCCCTATAAATGCACACTCACACAAGTGCAGCACTGGAGTTGCTCTGCACGAACTGCATTTCATCCAGCAAAGATTCAAGCACGTGCCTGAAAGCTCCACCATCCTTCTCAATCTACTTACTGGCTTGCTGTCCCCATATATCTGTACATGGTTATGAAAAGCTTTTTGGAATCATTTTGGACATAATCTTTTTGCTACAGTGAGAATATATTGTAGTTTGCTCTCATTATTTTAAGAACACTAATTTATATCATGATTTGTTTTATCCTGATGCTCTATATAAATAATGATGCTATTTACCTCAAGAAATTTCTTACATTTTTCATTATATACCAGTTATAAATAAAATAAAAGATAAAGACAGTGCTTTGCAAAATTCTACAATACTTTTTTCTTCCTTCTGTAATGGCTATTGATGCTATTGAACCACTTTTTAATGTGACTACCATTTGATCATATGTTTATTGACATGCTTGCATTTCTTTTCTAATGCAATGTGCTTCCCCACAGTTACAGGTTTCTGACCCCCATAACTGTATTGACTGGTACCTTGCTTCTGATGAGACAAACAGGATTATGAGCAGAACGAAGTCTTGTGTAATATGCTAACAGTGATGGGAAGTCAGGCGCCTGTAACAAAAACGTTATGTTAAATTAAAAAGTTAATCATTTTAATAATTCCTATTATACTACTTAATTCATGTCAAGAAATTATTTTCTTTACACTTTTTCGGAGTGGAAAGAAGTGAAGTCTCCTTTCTCTTAGCTTCTTGACTTGTGGGTGCTTCTGAGTACACTATGATTCATGCCTCATTTTTTGCTAAAAATGGAGGCATCATTTGAAGTAAAATAAATACTGTAAATCTCATAATTTCCATCATTTATGGAAATTCATATGTGAACTACTGAAATTCATATATGAAATACAGATAATGTTGAGTAAGCAGATGTCTTATGGGGGGAAAGAAAAATAACTTACAATGTACCTTTTCGTTATGGTACTGCAAAGACTTTCCAAGTTATTTGGATTTCAATGCAGTAAATCATTTAAGTATTTACTTAACTGTGATTATGCGAAGTTTCATGCTAATAGTTAATAACATGGGAAAATCCCAGGTTGAGACGTGGCTCAGCACAGGGAATCGCATCCAGACTCATGAGGTTGCTCGCTCTCACGGTTGCATCCACAGCAGATTTCAGCATTTCCCARCACTGTGGGAATCTCTCCTCTTTCATAAGCCTAGGGGTATTACACTTTTACACTTTTAAATTCAAAGTCACGACACAGATTTTCTGCGTGCATCACACACCCCAAGCTTACTGAGGCTCTGACTTTGCAGTGCAGCGAGTGAGCTGATCTACTGCTTCACTCATGTGCAACCCATGGAGCTAGAAAAATATATATTTAGCAAAAGTGACTTCCGAAATTTAATTTTAAGGAAAATTTGAACAAAACTCCATCAAGCCAGTTTCATACTAACTAGAAACGAGTACAGAAAAGTAAATTTAAATGACAGACTTTAAATGACAGAAAGCAAACACCTTCTCATGACCAAGAAGCTGCAGAGGATGCAGCCAGTGCTCTCTGCAGACTTTGTGCTTCATTTCATAACATTTAACCAACCTGTAAAATAGAGATTTATCACTGATAATTTTACTTTGCCTAAACAGTCCCACAGATGGGCCCCCCATATCAGTACTCAGATGATGCAAACCAGAATGACTCGGATATTGCCACATGTTCTCCTTGCCTAGCAGCCCTTCTTTTTCCATATGGCCCCAAATCTGCTGTCGTTGCCAATCCCCTAGTTTGGGTAAGCTTAGGCTGCACTCAGACTTAAGCACCTTCACGCACTGCATTACAACTTCGCATTTAACAACTGCCTGATTAACAGGGTCTTTAGGAATCCCTATAGGGCAATCAGGGGCTGAGGACACTTTCATCATCTGGGCACTGACTTCTGTTTAGTTTGTTCTTTTGTCAACAACAGCTTGAGCACTTGGAGCAATTGTCTTCTAAACTAAAGGGTTGCTAATGTTTTTCTTCATCGTTGTAACAAGAGAAGCCTGTGACTGYGGCCTCAGTAAAACAACAAATACTTGGCCTTTTTGGTAACCTAAAAAACACTTCTCTGATTCAAATTCCAAAGTTTTAATTCCCTGAGACACATCCAAGAATTGACACAACTGCAAATAAGATTTATATTCAAGTGAGGGTATTGGATTTCTCTTATTAAATATTTTGCCTCCTTATAACATTTTGGAAGATCAAATTACACAAAGATCCTTAAATTTATGAAAACCAAACATACAACCGAAACCAAACAACTCCAGGTAGCACCTATCTATCCAGTATAGGATCGGGCACTGTTTGGTAGAAATTTCCATTTGATGCAGTCAAAAGGCATGAAGTATTTCTTTACTATCACTTAAATTGCCCCAGTAATTGCCAGGCCAAGCCAGGGCTTTTCCCTAACGCGACGAGCACGTTTGGTGCCCACGGGTCACCGCGACGGGTGGCACAGGGGACATTGCCCCTCTCTGCAGCCGCTGCCTGGCTGCTGGGAGCGGAGGGATTGCAGGCTCTTCCCCTTGCTGCTGTCCCTCCTGCGCGCCTGCGCTCGGCTGGGCTGGAGGGTGGCACCAAATGCGACTCGCTCGCCCATTTTCCACCAGCTGACTCGGTTCTTCTGTGCTCTGAGCAATCTGCTAATCGCTTGTCACAAATACAGGCAAGTCTGGACAAAGCAAACACTGAACGTGGCTGTAGTCATGATGCACAGTCACGTTAGTTTTGTATTCCGAGGATAAAACAAGGGCCAAAGAGGAGAATGAACCCCAGATTTCAACTCAAATTGAATAAATATCCAGAAATGCATTTTATGTTTTTTCTACTTATAACCAGCATTTATCACAGAGCACTTCTGAAACAGAACTCTTCTCAGGTGGGTCAGAAGCTGAGCAAAGATCAAGATGATCAAAACCAAATCTTTTTTTCCACCTCCCCCTGCCACAGAGATTGCATTAGGCAAAATCTCCAAATCCAGAAYGAGAAAGGGAATGTTACACGGAGCCAATGACCTTGGAGCTTTGCAGGTGGATTCCCCAAAACACTATCAAGGGAACCAGTTTCTTGCTTTTTCACTGTGTGACACAGAAATGGCATCTCCTGGCAGCTGCGAAACACTTCTGTTGTTACCATGGCCATATACATCTATGTGCATATATACAGGTATTCAGCAGGTCTGCCTGAAAGCCATCGTCATGCAGTGGCATTGCCTGTCCCCAGCAACCCGTACTGATAATCAGTTTGTACCGAGTTGGAGAAGTGAACRGTTAGAAACGGGAAGCGAGGCTGCACCAGCTTCCTGTTTGAGCATCYAAACAACAAGCGCAAACATTCGGGCGCAGGATTTTCCACTTTC